GTCCCCCCCCCCCCCGTCTCTGCAGCAAGAGGCACGTCAGCTGGAGGAGGGGCAAGACGTTGGGAGACGTGCAGCGCAGCTCCGTATCTGGCATGCAGAAATGGGAGCCACTCTCGTGGGGGATCGTGGGGGTTTAGGGTTTAGGGTTTAGGGCAGGCTTAGGGCTTAGGGCTTAGGGGACAGGACATGAAGCTTTGGCGGCCTGACAGTAGTGTACCCATTGTGACCACTCGCGTGAGGGACCAGAAGCACTGCACCTGTGACCTGCACAGTTTTGCGGTGCCCAAGCAGAATGCTCCAAAGCAACTTAAGATGGCACATCCACGATATTGGGGGGGGGTTCAGAAAATAGGGGTACCCTTTTTGCGGGGCGTCCCTTTAAGGGGGTTCTATTCTATTTGGGGGTATAAACAGGGGTACCCCTATCTTGGGAAATCCCATATCCACATTCACCCGGTGCAGTAGCCTGTCGGCGACATCCACCGGGAAATACTGGCCCTGGCAAGTGCACAAGCCGTCGCAGACTCGATCACAGGCTACACACGGCGCAAGGACGACTCACCACCACCACCATCCCAGCTAGCAGATGCATAATGACTCCGACAGCAGTCCCTTAAGGCACCACCACCTTCACCGCCGCCAGCGCTGCTGCGTCCCCAGTCATACTCTGCTTCATACCAGGCTGCTGCTGAGGCAGCTGAAGGATGCTGTAAGTGCAAGGCGCCCTGCCTTGACCACCACAGGTAGGTTCAGGGAGCCGAAGTTTGGCACCAAGCGATTGAAGGTGGGGGTCCTGGGCCGGCTTGCGAACTTGTACCTCCTGCCTCTTTTCTGGAATGCGCCACTCCAGGGATACCGGTTGACATGTGATACTAAGTTTCAACGGCCACCCAAAAAAAAAAACGCCCGCGAGAGCAGATGCCTGGTGTAGAGAAAGGCGGTTGCGGCAGACGTCAGCAGCCGCGGATCGCCACTGCCTTAGGCAAAAACCAGTAACAAGATCTGCATTAAGGGGCATATAATATATATATATATCAATATATATATATATGTTCCTTATATAGCCCCTTTATACCTAAGTAGCCCCTAAAGAACACCTAAAGAGCCCCGAAGGTCCCTTATAAGGGTCCCTCCTTTAGTCGCTTGTAAGCTCGAGTCCCCACATGATCCGAACCTATCCACACCCCTGTTGGGCAGACCGCAAGCTCGCGAAGAGCAGAATCTACTAGCCGCGAAGGAATTCGCAAGGCTTTGAGACTTCAAGAGAGTCACTGGTTGCGTTACTCGCCCATACTTGCAAAGGAAAACGGATCAGCGTCACAAACAAGAGCCAGAAGCAAGACGCAAGCGCCTCTCTCACGACACGGGAGCCAGACTCTGACTCACATAGCGGCCGTGGCGCCACAGACCGGTCGAAAATCCCCCCCCCCCCCCCCCACCTCTCCTCGGGTGAGGCCCCGGAGTCATTTGGGCGGATTCCGCAATTAGGGGTTCCTTATGGGGGTCCCCATTATAAGGGGATCCTACTATATGGGGATATTGGGGGCCCATATTTTTGGTTAGCCTGCATTGGGTGACAAAAAGGGGGAGGACTCGCAACTAACGTCACCGAATAATGAGTAGATCACTTAAAGGTTCATTGGGGTACTTCTGAATAGGGAGTTAGAAGTATACTAAGTAAGGTTACAACCACAAATACCCTACTTATGGCCCTACCTATATTAGACCCAAGTAACCTATAGGAATAAACAGGGTGCTAAGGACGGGAAATAATTAGGGCCTACTTTGGGCCCTACTTCTAAGCACGCTCTTGAGCCTCCAAGTATACCTCTTGGAACCGGTTCAGACCATTGGCTGCGAAACCGGAAGGATGGGTTAAGCCCTCAACCCGATAAAACCCTAAAACCCTAAACTCCAAAAAACCCTAAAACCCTAAAACCCTAAAACCCTAAAACTCTAAAACCCTAAAACCCTAAAAGCCTAAAACCCTAAAACCCTAAAACCCCACATCCCCAAAACCTAAAACTCTAAAGCCTACAGGCATATCAGGCGGAAGGATGCCACCCTAAAGAGAGATAAGACTTAAGGACAAGTTTACACTGAACACGCGCTGGATGATGATTGAGCCACGACTCCTTGCTAGTCTTGCCATTAATGTGAAAGAGATTCCGATGCTGTGGCCCTAAACCCTAAACTTCAAACCCTAAACCCTAAACCCTAAACCCTTAACCCTAAACCTTCCAAACCCAAGCACATGCCACAACGGAAGTAAGGATGTGACGTCCGGATCTCGGGGCCAGTGTAAGGCGAAAGCCGATGTCGGAGTGAAAGCCTTAGGGTTTAGGGTTTAGGGTCTAGGCTTAGGGTTTAGGGTTTAGGGTCTAGGCTTTAGGGTTTAGGGTTTAGTAAGGACTGTTCGTATACGGGGGAACATCGCAAGGCAGGTATCAAAATCCTGGTCCATCTTTGGGCTTCCTATGCAAATATTGGGCTTTCTGTAGCACAGGGTACCCAAAAAAATGCCAAGATGTCCTGTTGCTGGCAGGGAGGGCTGCAGTGGTGACTGGGCTTCTACACCTTTGCAGTTGCTGTTGACTGGAGGCTTGTGAGATCGAAAATAGGCAAACGCGTCGCCACGCTGCCACCCTGCAAGAAAAGAGGTCCTTAGACAGCAACCCGAAACCCTAAACCCTAAACTCTAAACCCAAAACCCTACACCCTAAACCCTAAACCCTAAACCCTAAACCCTAAACCCTAAACCCTAACCCTAAATCCTAAACCGTGTTTCTGGAAGATGGCATCAGGGCGGTTTCAAGACCTCGATCAGGTCCAGCCGCTCTGGGCTGGCAGGTGCGAAGCTACAAGACTTGTGGCCAAGTAACCTGCGCAAAGCACCGATGATTGGGTCGAAGCCTTATGTACACGCCTTCGGTTGAAAAGCGAGCCCAGTTTCCTCCAGAACTCCGGGGCCCTCTTTCTACTTTTTCGAAATAAGGTGATTCGGTCACCTCAAACTCACTTTTATATCTCCCAACCTTTAAAAATCACAAATTCGTGTCAACTAGCTGAAATCTCAACCGCGGGGAACGGCAACCTGCAGTTGAAACCTTGCGACTGGAACAAGGCAAAAGCCCCCCAAACCCTGCAGCCGGAACCCAAAACCTGAAAATGCCACTGAAAACCCTAGCCTCTGCACCGCTAAAACCCCGAAAACTCCCTGAAACCTCCCTTAGGGTTGGCTAAAACCCCGAAAACTTGGCTAAAACCCCCAAAAAAACTCCCTAAAACCTCCCTGAGGGTTATTTGGGGTTTAGGGTTTAGGGTTTAGGGTTTCGGGAGTCCACCCGATCTCTCAGCCCGCGGCTCCTGGCACGACCTGGTTCCGGCAGCCCTGCTCGCCGCAGACCCAGACTGCGGACCTGAAGGGAAGGGCGTAGATTGTTATGTCCCTGGAGTTTAGGGTTTAGGGTTTAGGGTTTAGGGTTTAGGGTTTAGGGTTTAAGGCTTAGGGTTAGGGTTTAGGGTTTAGGGTTTAGGGTTTGGGGTTGAGGGTTTAGGGTTTCGGGTTTAGGGATTTTTCTGGTACAAAAAAGAAGGTTTTGGAGGGGAGGTGTAGAACCCTACATCTTTACTTGGAGGTTCAGTACTTATAAGTAGGGGGGGGTTAGGGTTTAGGGTTTAGGGTTTAGGGTTTAGGGTTTAGGGTTTAGGGTTTAGGGTTTAGGGTTTGGGGTTTGGGGTTTAGGGTTTGGGGTTTGGGGTTTAGGGTTTAGGGTTTAGGGTTTAGGGTTTAGGGTTTTAAGTAGGGTAGCTATGGCTATGACCCTACTTAGGGCACTCTACAAGTACCCATGAACCTTCAAGCAAGCTCATTTTCTTGGTAGGTTCCCTAGGAATCCCATAAGGTAGTTTATAAGACTAGCTTACAAAAAGATAGGTGTCGGGTTCTTTGGGCAGTATAGGGTTTAGGGCTGAGGGCCGTTGCTTCTAAACCCTATAAACCCTATAAACCCTGTAAACCCTATAAACCCTATAAACCTATAAACCCTATAAACCCTTCAAACCCTATAAACCCTATAAACCCATAAACCCTATAAACCATATAAACCCTATAAACCCTATAAACCCTATAAACCCTATAAACCCTATAAACCCTAAACGCGTGAGGTCGGCAAGAGTGTTGTTAGTTCGGCCACGAAACCCTCTACTTGGAGGTTCATGGGTAGCTATAAGCAGGGTTGTAAGTAGGGTAAATGGCCCTAAACCCTAAACCCTGAACCCGAAACCCTAAACCCTAAACCCTAAATCCCCCTTCTAGCGAATTCTTGGAATCCCCTCTTACAGGGACCCAAGGAGAGGCCAGATGACCTCCCCAGAACCCTCCCTGGGTATCAGTCTCCCTGTAGGAGGGTCGTGGAGACCGTGAAGCAATCCCCAAATACTGATCATCGAGCCCTAATCCCCAAACCCTAAAACCTAAAACCCTAAAACCCTAAACCCTAAACCCGAAACCCTCAACCCCGTTGGATCTTGCAAAGTCAGGGCTGAGTCCGAAACAGGCTGGTCTGCCACGCAGAGTACGTCAGTCGCGCTGAGGAAGACGGCCTTTCAAGGATGCGTAGCTGAGGACTTGACCAACTACGCCTTGGAGTGCTGGAGACAGCATCAGAATATCTAGCCCTGAGGAACCGCACCCCCCTTCCCCCCAGCTTTTGTCTCGGCAGTGCAGCAATCTAGGCGCAGCGCAAGTTAGGCGGTGCGTTGGCAAGTTCTTCTAGCTCAACGGGTGCCTCCTGACTGTATCTCATGCACACCATGCTACATCCGATCATGATCATGAGCTTGGCTTTCCTAGACACATGAAGCTGGAAGCTTCGTGACAAAAGTAAAACCGAGCCATGGCAGCACCCTCTCTGAGACTCACTATGCTAATGTCATGAGTCTCCTGTGTCAGGAGCCATCACGGCTTCAACAGTCCATTTGCCCCCAGCTGGGGTGACCTATTCCTCACTGTCTGGTTCCAGGTCATACCTCGGAGGGCATTTTTGCACACAAAGGGAGTTTGCCCAGGTTTCTTTTGTTTGGTTGTCTTAAACTAGTGTTTAGGGTTTAGGGTTTAGGGTTTAGGGTTTAGGGTTTAGGGTTTAGGGTTTAGGGTTTAGGGTTTAGGGTTTAGGGTTTAGGGTTTAGGGTTTAGGGTTTAGGGTTTAGGGTGTTCCAAACCCCAATCTTACTACTTCCAGCAACTCCGAGGCCACAGCCAAGAACAAGCCCCAGTTCTCGGTGTAAGCGAACTCGGAGCCCAGACCCTGGACCCTAGTAGGGCCTAGGGTTGGGCGTCTTGAGGGCTTTTAGGGTTGACTTGCACACCTTGTACCCTAACCCTAAACCCTAAACCCTAAACCCTAAACCCTAAACCCTAAACCCTAAACCCTAAACCCTAAACCCGAATAACCTTGCTGTCAGGATGCCGGCACTTCCTGTGGCAGGCCTTCTCTGCTGCGGAGATGAAGGTGGCCTTCCAGGAGTAGCAGTTTGTCTGAAAGCCTGCAGCGCGGGTGCTATAGGGTTTAGGGGTTTAGGGTTTAGGGTTTAGGGTTTAGGGTTTAGGGTTTAGGGTTTAGGGTTTAGGGTTTAGGGCTTCTTGCTTCGGGTGTTGGGAAGGTATCTTTCGGGCGAGCGCGCGACATATGTGTACGAAACCTAGGCTAACGGCATAGCTCAACGAAATCAACCGTGCCATTACCCCACACGAGCTGAGCCGCTGTCATCGTGGCATGAAATGCACTGCCCCCAGGTTCCATCAGCTTGAATTGCACACCGGGCTCCCCGGACACACCAGTCTTGGGAGTAGCATCGGGTATTCGGGCAATTGAAGCCGGTGGCTTCGATCGCCGCCAGGCGGAAGTCGTCCTCCCACTTCACGCAAGACTCTTGGAACTCCTTCTTGGTGAGGGGCACGCATTGGGCCCAACTGCCGTCTTGCTTTGACAAGCAGACCGTGGACAGTGGACAGTCCTGGTCATACTCGCACAGGACGCTGTTGCAAGTCAGGCCCGTCTCGTTGATGGCGGAAAGTCGCAGTTTTCGGTCCCAATATTTACCTTGGTAGCCCAACAACCATACTACAACAAGGGCACCCCGTTTTGGGGTTGGCCATTTTTACAAGAGGAACCTTGAACCCAACAAAAAGGGAAAAAGGGGGTACCACTTACAAATTGGGTTGGCTATTTTTATAAGAGGAACCTTGAGCCCAAAAAATGGGGAAACAGGGGCACCACTTACCAAGTTACACTCCTTCTGAAAGGTGTCGTCGTCCAAGGGCACGCACTGGCTCCAACTTCGATCGGGTTTGAAGACACATGTCCGATTCTCGACACAGGCGCTGCTGTTCTCCTTGGTAGCCCAGTATATCCATGTTAAAATTAAGGGCGCCCTTCTTTATAAGCATATTATAATAAGGGCACCCTTCTTTTTTTTGGGTTGGTTGCTTTACAAGGGAGCCCAGGAGCAAACAAAAAAAAGTAGTAAAGGGTACCACTGGGCTCCCAAGTGTCACATCGCGTGGGCTCTTCAAAGCTCTTCGTTCTTTGCGTAAGGACTTGCAGGGCATTCAAAGAGCAAGACGCATCCTGTCCGCACTCATCATCCGCAGCCATGAGGGCCGCGGCATCGTGAGCGGCTGTCGCGCACAAACTCCAGAAGCCCACGAGGAGCCCCAGCCAAAGCGCCATGCGGCTTCTAACAAAGAGATATAAACAAAACACTTTCTTCAGTTTGGGGCCTGCAAACAGGCACCCTAGAAAAGTAACCTTGATCACACAGAGAACCATGGAGAGTGCCGGCATTCATTTTGTGCACGTGCCAAAGTGCTTATTCTTAGACCATTCAGGGCACCCTCTTGTGGGCTCACAAACCCTAAACCCTAAACCCTATACCCTAAACCCTAAACCCTACACCCTAAACCCTAAACCCTAAACCCTAAACCCTAAACGTGCTGCAGCGCTGTCTGCACTTCACAAACCACGAAGTCGAACCTCTGATCGCGACTCCGCTCCCAGACCAAAGAGGCAGCCAATCGTAGCCACCTTGCGATTCGGTTTAGGGTTTAGGGTTTAGGGTTTAGGGTTTAGGGTTTAGGGCTTAGGGTTTAGGGCTTAGGGTTTAGGGTTTAGGGTTTAGGGTTTAGGGGTTTCAGAGGGGGTTCAGGGTACTCATAAGTGGGTGATAAGTACAGTTATAATTGGGGTACGAAGTACCATGAACCTCCAAGTACAGGGGTCTTGTTGTCCTCTCGAGTCTGTTGAAAGGTGCCCACCAAATATAACAATCACTTAAAACCCCTGCTCGTATTCTTGTTGTCACCGTACCATGTCCAGAGACCTCAGCGCAACTGCAAAACGGAAGCTTCAATACCCCTTCACTGTTGACGGGGAGAGCATATCTTGAGAAAGGAAAGCTCGTATGAGCGTGGATGCTCACATTCTCCACCACTCCCCCCCCCCCCCACCTTTGGCAAAGTGGATGCCGTCGTGACCTGTCGGGCTCTTGGCAATTATGCTTGGAATGGGGGCCTAGCAGCCTGCCAGGGCTGGAACATGAATGATCCGTCTACTTTGGGGCCAAAACTGTCACCCTCAATGCCAGCTAAGGGCTCCTAAACCCTAAGCCCTAAACTCTAAAACAAGCCGATTCGAATCCCAACTCAGATAGCGCCAGCAAACGGAGCAAGGTACAATCAGCAATTTGTACAGCACTTCTGCTGTGCGGCCTTGCATTACACATGTTGCAAGTCCCGGGCTGAGAAAAATTAGCAGAACCCTTGCCCATTTGGGGGTGATACTACCACCAGTCACCCCATCAGAAGATTATTCCTCTACTCCCCCCTACATTTATGCAACTGCTTATCACCACTGCTTCCCCATTACCCATACGACGTAGCTCCCATGCGCGGCACATGCGATGCTGTTGCTGGCTCCGGTTACCTTAACCCTAAACCCTAAACCCTAAACCCTGAACCCTAAACCCCAAACCCTAAACCCTGAAGCCTAAACCCTAACCCTAAACGCTAAACCCTAAACCCTGAACCCTAAACCCTAAACCCTATACCCTAAAGCCTAAACCCTGAACCCTAAACTAAACCGGCTGTGTGGGCCTGCACCGTGTTCGACCCGGTGGGGAATCCGAAAGCTGGGCGCAGCGTGACCTCGACTGGCACAGCTCAGCAAAAGGGATCCCACTACATGGGGGTTTAGGGTTTAGGGTTTAGGGTTTAAGTTTTAGGGTTTAGGGCTTAGGGTTTAGGGTTTAGGGTTTAGGGTTTACGAACATAGGGGCCCCCCCCAAGAAAAGAACAAATTAGTAGGATTCCCTTGTCAATAAGGACCCGGAATAAGGTGCCCCCTATTTCTTCGGAAACCCCCAACTTATCAGATTTGCGACTCAGCGTACCATGCAGCAAGACGCTCAGTCAGTGGCCTTGCGCAGCTCCAACGCCGAAACGATGTAGACCTCTCAACTCGGAGCTACTTATATGTTGGGGGTAGAAGTAAGGCAACTATGGTTATACCCTAGTTTAGGGGACTTATAACGTATAACCCTACCTATCAGTATTCATGAACCTTCAAGAAAGGGGAGCTTTGCATCTACTTGGGCCATGGATCTTTTCGTTCAGAGACCACTTGCAAAGCCTAGGCTCAAGCCTCGAAGCTCTCTTTGGACCACTCCGTACCATCATTCGACACCTCGATCTTCACATTGGAGCTTCCTCGGCAGTCACTGGTTCTGCGACTCGCGATTTTTGTCAAAAAAAATGCCCCACAGCCTCCAGTCCTACGACCTGTACTCGGAGGTTCATGGTTAGCTATAGGTAGGGAATAGCCTCATTTTGGGGACTTCGAGCCCTACTTCTAAGTACCCATCAACCTTCAAGAAACCCTAAACCCTAAACCCTAAACCCTAAACCCTAAACCCTAAACCAAACCCTAAACCCCCAAACCCCCAAACCCTAAACCCCTAAACCCTAAACTCAGAGCCACAGACCTGGAAGTGCGAAGGGTGGAAGACCACATCGCACCTTCACGGATCACGGGTATGGGTAGCTCTCTAAAACTATAGGGTCCCCCTTTTTTTTGGGGGGTCCTTCTTTTAAAAGGGGTGCCGTACCAAAAAAGGGGGACCCAAAAAGGAACCCTAATTTAGAGAACTACACGGCGCCGCAGAGGGGACACAACGGGGACAGCTTCGAAGTCTGTTCTTGAGCTTGTGGGGGCGTCTGGACAAAAAGAACTTCACCCTAAACCCTAAACCCTAAACCCTAAACCCTAAACCCTAAACCCTAAACCCTAAACCCTAAACCCTAAACCCTAAACCCTAAACCCTAAACCCTAAACCCTAAACCCTAAACCCTAAACCCTAAACCCTAAACCCTACCGTAAACCAAAGATGTGTTTCAAGGCAAAGGGACAGCTGCCAAGTCGGGGGGGGGGGCAATTTTTCCTCCCACCTGTGTAGAGCTGATGAAGGAGGCATAGGGCGAGATGATGGCATCACCAAACTGGCGCAGCATTTCTGCACGACTCTGCCCTCGATAACCCCAGCTAAGATAATCGACGTGCCGAGAATTGCACTAGCAAGGTCCTTCTTCTCGTGGGGATTGGGGCGGGGGGGGGAGGGGGAGGAATGTTCTTCATGGGATTTCTAAGGCCTTGTGGAGAGGCAGGGTGCCCTTTGTGGCTTGGGAAGGTGTGGGCCTTGCGAAGTAGGTGGACTTTTCTTGGCTGACTTCTGAACCCCTCCGAAAAGCTTAACTTTTAGGCTCCTTATTGTAGTTTCTTCAACAACCCAAAAGGTTAAAGTCCTAAGAACCAGCCAGAAGAAAGCCAAGTTTTGGCGAGTTTCTGCATGGTCTCGCTCCAGGCATGTCAGGTTCAGCTCCCACCCCTCGCATCTAGATCACCCCAAGTAGGCCCTCACAGCTGGTTTGGACATGTTAGATCGGTGGAGGGAATTCAGTCTCGCCACGGAAGCGCGTGCCCCAAAACCCTCCAACTACCGCCTAAGTCCTGGAACCCTAAACCCTAAACCTCAACCCTAAACCCTAAACCCTAAACCCTAAGCCCTAAACCCTGAGACCACAGGCCGGAAGGGCCGAGTCAACCAGGCGGCATCGAAGCAAGTTCGTGTTCACGAAGCCCAGGCCCACAATCAGCAAGCTCGGATCCTGTAGTTTTCGGAGCAGCTTAGGAGTTGGAATCAAAGGCTTCGGGTTTAGGGTTTAGGGTTTAGGGTTTAGGGTTTGGGGCTTAGGGTACTACGGTAAGGGTTCCGTACCACTCCCCACATTTTTGGGCCTGGTCTTTACCGAGAACTGCTGTGGCGAAAGCTACCCGCAAGAGCAGACGAACACCTACTTGGAGGTTCATGGTACTTAGAACCCAATTACTTCTAAGCCCCTTGAGTACCCTAATAGGGTTCTACTTGGGTACTAAGTACAGGCATAACTGGGTTCCTAAGTACCCTGAACCTCCAAGTACCAGCCGCCTCGTCCAGTTCCACCGCGCGCTGGCTGCGGTCCAGCCTCTAGACGTCAAGGGCTTTGGCATTGGTGCATTTTGAGCGGGCTGGTGCATGCCGACAAAAGCGTAACAGAGGCAAAGACACGGTGTCTCTCTAAACCCTAAACCCTAAACCCTAAACCCCAAACCCCAAACCCCAAACCCTAACCCTAAATCCTAAACCTTAAACCCTATGTCCTCTAAGGTTTCTGGAGGCACGGCATCGCAACCAGATCACGGGCTTGCAGCGCAGCAAACTTGTACAAGATCCCCTAACCTCCACGAGCCTTATATGGGTGGCGTACCCCTTTCATACCCTAAATCCCCTTAAACGGGGACCCCAAACAGGGAACCCTCTTATTTTCGGAAAACCCCATCTGGTCCTGCCATTCGCTGAAAGTCCCTTGACAATCCCTTTTTCTGTTCTTGTGTGGGGGGGGGGGGGGGTTGTAACTCGAACCCTAAACCCTAAACCCTGAACCCTAAACCCATCGCTAAGCACAGGTCCATGGCACCATGCGAGGATACACAGATGTGACCTTGGGGATCGCCAAGAGCATCGACGGAGCCACCTGGCACAAAGAGCTAAATGGTGGAAGACTCCAGAAAAGGACTTCTTCAGAACAGGTAAAACTGACAACTGGCGTGATCCAGATAGAGATCTTCAAGTCTGCCTGACCAGGCAACACAAGGCCCTAAACCCTAAACCCTAAACCCTAAACCCTAAACCCTAAACCCTAAACCCTAAACCCTAAACCCTAAACCCTAAACCCTAAACCCTAAACCGAGAAGCTTCATGTTGCAACATGACGCATCAGCAAAGGAGAGCATAAGGATTCTGCCTTAAGGTCCGAGCTGCTGAGACCGAGCCCATCAGCGCCAGAAACCCTGAAACCCATAAGCCCTGAGCCCAGAACGGCTTTGTTGACACCAGGGTTTAGGGTTTAGGGTTTAGGGTTTAGGGTTTAGGGTTTAGGGTTTAGGGTTTAGGGTTAGGGTTTAGGGCTTAGGGAAGCCCACCTCTACGGAGGCAGCTCCCCGCACCAGCAGGCCCCATGCTGATGGAGCTCCCTGCCGGCAGGTGAATCTAGGCAAAAAAGTCTTTGTTTTGGGATTTTCCCTAGCAGTCCTTGGTGGGGATTCAAATGCCGCCCCCAGTAGAACCCCTACTAAGGGCTGTTAAGAAAAGGGGGCACGTCCCAAGTTTGTACATCAGGGAAATGAGGGTTGCCTCAGACTAAGAAGAGGGCCTGTTTTATCGGAATGTGTATTTTGAAAGGCTGTAGGTTAACTGTTTGTATCTCAATATATATATATATATGTACACACATACGCATATATTAATATGTAGGAATCATAAAGGCGAAAATGGGGGGGGGAGGACGCCAGGTCCTTCCAGGGGTGTTCAAGCCTTGCGAAGTTGTCTCTTGTAAGCTTGAGAGTTTCACGAAGCAGCACGCCATGCGTCTATGAGAATACGAGGCATGATGCTGTGACAACAGGAGCTCAGGGTTCAGGGTTGACCAAGAAAAAGAACCGTAATCAGCATCAGGTAAAATCATAATCATCATCAGCAGGAAGCATATGTAAGTATACAATCCGGTTTGCTTCTTGCACACTTGTTGCTGTCAAGGATGTTTCTTGTTGGTGTCCAAGCTTGCAGTCTTGCTTGCTTTCTGGCCGACCACCGCAGTAAGGTTGTATTGTTAGCATCCCCAAAAGGACATGCCACATATGCACTCACACAAACCACTGGCCAGAACAGTAAAGCCTTGTTCCACATATACCCTGAAGGCTTACAAAACAAGACGACTTGCTCACCTCAGCCGGGTCAATGAAGTAGGTGCTGAACCTAGGCCACAGCAAGAGAAGATGCAGGAGTTGGTATGAGTTAGTGGCAGCTTGTGTTCAGGAACTCTTCATGTCTCGTCTTCTCCCAGAGCAGATCGGACTTCATGCAGAGCTGAATAAAGCACCCATGAACCCTAAAGCCTAAACCCTAAACCCTAAACCCTAAGCCCAAAACCATAAACCCTAAACTCTAAACCCTAAACCCTTTGCTATATCCGCCTTGCGGCTTCAGAGGCCGCAAGAGCCCGAAAAATCGCAGCAACAGGAATCCCCAAACTGTCGCAATCTCTATTGCACCATGAAAAGAAAGCTCATCACCGTCACCCTAAACCCTAAACCCTAAACCCTAAACCCTAAACCCGAAACCCCCTAGTAAACCCTAAACCATTGAGATTTTGTGGGCTTGACACCCTGGACATAAAAAGATTGTATGGTGCGGGGCGGGTGTGCGGGGCGCATATACCGTACATACGTTGTATCCTGCATGCACTACGTATACTCTACATGGAAAACACTCTATGTCCTTGGGCATTCGAGAGTGTGAAGTTCAGGAACGCTGTAATCGACCCCACGCCATCTCCGTCAAACTTCATCCACCTCGTAGAAAATGGGCCACTGCATGCAAAACACTGAACCAGCGAGACGCTGGCATGTAAATTTAACCCTTACCACCTTCTAACTTCCTCGAACCCCCCCCCGGCAGACGAAGGAAAAGGACTGAAGAAGGCTGGCAGCCAATCAAACCCTGCACCCTGACTATCCTCCAAACCTCAAGCCCTGTAAACTGTGGCCGGGACAACATCCCTGGCGGATAGGTGACGGAGTAATCCACCACCGGGGCGCTCAGCAGTAGACCCAGCCTTTGTCACTTCTTGGGGCTAGGGATTTGACGCTTGGGGGTTTGTTTGTTTTTTTTTTTGTTTTTCTGGTTTGGGGGTTTGGGTTTTTTGGGTTTGTGGGGTTTGGGGTTTTAAGGTATGGGGTTTGGAGTTTTAAGGGGACGTCGGAGGTAAGAAGGTTGCAGGAAGTCACGGGCCCTACAAGAGCCAGAACTGAACCCTAAAAACCCTAAACCCTGAACCCTGAACCCTGAACCCCAAACCCCAAACCCTAAACCCTAAACCCTAGACCCTAAGCCCTAAGCCCTAAGCCCTAAACCCTAAACCCTAAACCCTAAACCCTAAACCCTAAACCCTAAACCCTAAACCCTAAACCCTAAACCCTAAACCCTCACCGAGGGGTCGACTCGGTGATCGGAATCTCCACGACTCCCAAGGCTGTTGAGTTGACCACCGTGTCCATGGCCGGCCTGGGTGGCTTTAGGGGTCTGGTTTCTTCGTAGCCCTAAACCCTAAACCCTAAAACCCTGGTAGGGTATTTATAAGCCATTCCCATTCCCTCATTCCCTACTCAGAACCAGGGGGTTTCGGGGGCGTCTTTCGGCTATCTGCACTGGTATTTGGGTAGTTCATTAGGGCCGGTTTTGAGGCCCCCAAGATAGTACGGCACCCGTATAACACGGACCCTACAAGGACCCCCGAAAAGGATTCTAAAAGGACCCGAATCAGAGAACTATCGAGGAATTGGGCGCGTTCGGAGGTCTTGGTAGGGCTTCTTCTGGAAGACCAGGCGATGGGGCTTTCTGCATTCCTGAATCGACGCCACTTCACACAAATCTCGGTTTTGGAGAGCCTTGTTGATTAAAGATTCTTGAGGTAGTATAAGGACCCATATTCGGAGTATACTCAGGGGAACCGTTTAGGGCTACAACCTGTGAGGGGGGCACGAGTCTGAACCCTAACCCCTAACCCCTAAACCCTAAACCCGAAACCCTAATCCCTGAGATTCGTAGCCGAACAACGCTGAAACCCTCAATCCTGGGGCTCCCTGCGGCTCGTAGGCTGCGGCAGACGGCGTCACCCAGAGCTTGACTTGGGCCTCAGAGGGTTTAGGGTTTAGGGTTTAGGGTTTAGGGTTTAGGGTTTAGGGTTTAGGGTTTAGGGTTTAGGGTTTAGGGTTTAGGGTTTAGGGCTGTCTTGCCTTGAGACGAATGAGTCCCGGGCGGGACCCTGAAACTGGGTGTTCTGCGCCAAGAGGGTCACCGGTGGCATCTGATGTCCTGTCTCCTGGCAGCTTCGCATGGGTTCAGGGTTCAGGGTTCAGGGTTCAGGGTTCAGGGTTCAGGGTTCAGGGTTCAGGGTTCAGGGTTCAGGGTTCAGGGTTCAGGGTTCAGGGTTTAGGGTTTAGGGTTTAGGGTTTAGGGTCCTATCAACCAGGAAGAATCCTTTCAGGCTCTTCATCTGGGTGGTTGTCAAACTTATGATCCCTTTTTGGATCCCTATTCTAATGCGCACCTAATATTTAGGGTACTCCAAAAAAATCATAATTTTGACAACCACCCATTTCTGCGCACATTCAGCCGTGGCTGCTGCCAGCCTCGCCCACAAGCCCAACCTTGCTCCAAAGGCAGCTTTCAGCCGAATCGGTGCTACGTGCAGTACTGTAACAGCATTTTCCAGCAACTGCAGGATCAACGGCGGCCAACACTTCCCCAGTTGCAGTTCCCAAGAGGATGCAGCTGGACCACCTTTTGCCAATGTAGGGGGGGTGTGGAGGAGCCCATCCCCATAAAACCCCCTTCTTCCCTCAACCCCTCAACCCCTCAACCTCAACCCATTCACCCCCCTCCCGCTCAAGCACCAGTAAACCCTCCCTAAACCCCAAACCCTAAACCCTAAACCCTAAACCCTATAAACCCTAAACCGAAGGCCAGAACAGCGAACCGAGCGCCGGACCTGCACTCTGATGTTCGAAGTCTGGCCTACCATGCAGGAGGCGTGGCCCTGTAAGCTTCGGACCCCAGACTCCTAAAAGCCGTAATGGTTTAGGGTTTAGGGTTTAGGGCTTAGGGTTTAGGGATAGTACCTCATAATATCGTACATGGAGTAGCAGAGTTTATGTGCAAATATAGTATACAGCAAAGTATTGTATGGCATGATACAGTATTGTATAGCAACTCCAACCGCTGCGTGGGTGGATTCTGTCGCGCTCCAGGAGGGTTTAGGATTTAGCGAATTCAGGGGTGACGCTTTGAAATCCTGGATTTGGGCATTTGCAAGCCACGGTGCCTATTCAAATCCGAACGTAAGTGCACGGGACTCGATGTCAATGTAGACAAAGCGCGAGGTGTGAGCGTGATCTATGCAAGAAAACCTTTCTCAGAAAGGTGAGGTGTTTCGGCTAGGCACTGGGCTCATGAGCCTGTTTGCAATGATGCACGGAGCCTCGAGCAGTGAGAGAACGAACATGCGCTGATCCGAACAAGTGATCATCTCGTCCCACATGGACGCCGCCAAGTGCTTGAATGCAACACACATCATGTGTCGATGTCTGGCTGTTTTGCGTCAAAAGGCACTTCAAGATGGTCATGTGAGCTGCTCCACGCACCTGCTCATCACTATCAGAGAGAAGAGGCTGGAGAAGCTGCTTCGCTTCCTCCCACGTGTTTCATCGCACCGTGGGGTCCTGGTGAAAATCGCCTCTTTGGTGTGCTGGCTTTTTTTCAAGCCGTGGACTTGAACCCATCCCTAGTGAACCCTCCAAAAGCCTCTAACCCTAAACCCTAAACCCTAAAACCTAAACCCTAAACCCTAAACCCTAAACCCTAACCTCCAGGAAGGCCACACACACCCCACTACAAACGCTGGCGCCTTGAAGGGGTGCCGCCGTGAGCCGGCGCTCTGGGAAAAGCAGGAACGTGGCCTCTGCGGTTTCGGGTTTAGGGTTTAGGGTCGAGGGTTTAGGGTTTGGGGTTTAGGGTCGAGGGCGTGTTGGCAAGTAAACGCTTCAGGATTGGCGTTGCGTATCTTTTGTTGCGCTGATTGTTTTTCAGGGTTGACGGATTAGGGTTAAAGGATGTCTTTGGGAAGGTTTCGGGGGTGAACCCTAAACCCTAAACCCTAAACCCAAAACCCTAAACCCTAAACCCCAAACCCTAGACCCCACTGGGAAGCTGGCCGAAGCTGTGGATTTGAAGAAGTCTTCAGGCCAACGGGGGCCAGCGGATCCACTACAACATCTCAAGGCTAACCATGGAACCCAGAGCTCTAAGATGATACAAGGGGTTAAGGGTTTAGGGTTTAGGGTTTAGGGTTTAGGGTTTAGGGTTTAGGGTTTAGGGTTTAGGGTTTAGGGTTTAGGGTTTAGGGTGCACCCTGAACCCTTTTTCTCAAAACCCTATAACATTCTGGACCTTAATAGCCTTCAAAACATCTTGAAGCTCACTGGAAAGGACGAGGCCGGCCTCGGAAGGAAGGGCCATACCGTGGATCCGCAGTGTTATGCCCACCTGCGCCGAGCATTGAGCTGCGGACTTTCAGGGGCCAGGGCTGGATTTCAGGGGCTTCGTAGAAAAAAGGCCGAAGCCCTTTGAACCCTGAGGCGCAAGCTTACTCCCTCGGTTTGGGGCTGAGGGAGGTTGAGGGTATAAGGCCTACAAGGGTTGCTTGGGGTTGAGGGGCCGAAGGAATCCCCCCAAACCCTAAACCCTAAACCCCACCCTTGGGATGCTCCCCTACCACAATCCTACTAAGGACTGCTAGTATAAGGGGGAGTATCCCAACTCCAAACCCTGAATCCTGACAGTGGCCCGGGGCTTCGATACTCATACTCATAGCAATAAGAAGAATGAAAACGACAAGAAGAAAATGCCTAAACCAAACCTCTAAACCCCTAAACCCCCGAAACTCCGTAAACCACTTACAGTCCAAACCCCCTGTGCCGCGTGCCTTCCGACCACCTGGCATCCCGGGAATCGCGGGTGGAAAGCAAGCAACACGCTGGCTGTCGAGCACCTTAGGGACGAGCTTTTCTTGGTGATGCTTTGGGGTTAAGGGAGGCACTAAACCCTTAAACCCTAAACCCGAAGCTTCTCTTGGTGGGTCTGTTGGGTTTAGAGAAACCCCTCAAGCCCGAAAACCCGAAACCCCAAACCCGTCGAATCGGACTCGGGCGCCCCTTAACCAACCCCTCCAGAAGCCCTCTCTAAACATGAACCCCTAAATCCTAAACCCTAAACCCTAAACCCTAAACCCCCCAGTCCTAAGCCAACACAAACAGGCCCATGCAATGAATCCCTAGCTCACCCCCGAATCCTCGAGCAGAGTTGTCATCCAAGCACGAAACGCCCTGCACCCCTTGAACCCCAGATCGCCCTCCTTTGGGGGGAGGAGTGCAGCCTCTGAGCCCTAAACCCTAAACCCTAGACCATATACCAGGGGGTAGGGAAGGGTCGGGGGTAGGGCATAGGGGCATAGGGGCATAGGGGGGTAGGGGGTAGGGGTAAGGAACTCATGGCCTTACCTGTTCCGGCGACTCTTGGCATATCAGGTGCCACCGAAAATCCGTACATGAACGCACACTTCGAAGGCAAACGAGGTAAACCAACAGACCTCAAACCCCGACCTCCACGCTCCTTACAATGCCCCACACCTCGCAACTTCTCTGTTGCAGGGTCTAGCAAGGAATGAAGAGAATCAGGTTCCAACCTCAAGCAAAAAACAAGTTCCTGTTGTAGTTCACACCAAAAACTCTGCACCATTACCACCCTCCATTAAGAACCAGTACCCGAAACCCTAAACCCTAGCCCTAAACCCTAAACCTAGCCAAAAACCCTAAACCCCCTAGGACCTGCTGGGCCCTGGCGCCCAGGGAGCAGACTCCGCCTCGGCCTGGAAGCCCTCCGGGCGAAAGACGCACCTGCCAAGGGTTTAGGGTTTAGGGTTTAGGGTTTAGGGTTTAGGGTTTAGGGTTTAGGGTTTAGGGTTTAGGGTTTAGGGTTTAGGGTTTAGGGTTTAGGCTAGGGCTTAGGGCAAGACATCTTCCAAGGAGGCCGCGTAACTTTCAGTGAGGTGGGCCCACCATGTAAAGCAGAGCCACTGCGGGCCTCGACCCCTCCGTCTCACGCAGTAGTGCCCCCAAAGGTCCTCCATACCTGACACGCAAAATGGTGGCAGGTCGAGTAAGCCAGCTGGTTTTGTGAAAATTCTGTAGGCCCAAGTTCGACCCAACTTAGTTCCAGGCAGAACCAGGGGAGTGTTGCTCCCCATGGCAGTCGCATTTGGCGAGACGCTGCCCACGATGGAAATCTGCAGCACCTGCTGCGGGTGTTCAAGGCAACACGATCCGATCCCTTCACGCTTCTGAACTGGTTCTGAATTGCTGCCTGCACCGCGCAGTTCAAAGCTTTAGGCATGGCGCCTGAAAGGGCACGAAATTCTGCGCGATGACAAATGGCGAGTCGTAGTTGACAAGGCCAACCTTCGCTCAATTCTGGCTTCCGCAGACACGCTCCAAGCCTTGAGCCCTCAGCCCTAATGGCCAAAACGCCCTAATACAGGGGTCGTAATCCCTTATGGTCCCTATACCATTATACTATAACAACCCTCAAAACCCTATTCTAATTCTTGCAAGTAAGGCCCCTAGATTAAGCCCCAAACCTCTTTAGGACAGTGCCGGTGCCTCCCAGGTCCCGAGTGACAGTCCCTCTGGCACACGGCAGCGGACGTTGGCCGTGCCTTTTTGAAGCTGGCAGGCGTTTCAGGGTGAGGCTGGGTTCAATCATACGGGTGGTTGGCAAAATTATGACTTCTTTTGGGGTACCCTAAATATTCGGAGCCGCATTCTAATAGGGATCCAAAAAGGACCATGATTTTGACCAAAATCTTGACAACCACCCAAATAGTTCAAAGCACAGGGAGGACTTCAGAGTTTTGCGATGATGCAGTATGTCGCCACGGCATTCGATGTGCTCTACAGAAGCCCGCTTGCCCACTTGTCCCGAGACATGGAGAACTGGAGTGAAAGACTTCCTGGTTCTTGAAGTCTTCACATAATATATGGGGATATAAGGTACCTAATTCAAACATTCCACCCCAGACCCTAAACCCTAAACCCTAAACCCCAAAACCCCAAACCCTAAACCCTAAACCCTAAACCCTAGCCAGTGAAAGAGGGAGACGCTCTGGAGATCCGGGCTTTGGAAGCCAGCCGCTTCCTCTGCGAGGCTTGCTGGCGCCTCACAGTCCCCATCCACTCTTTCGTGCAGCATGTGCAAGATTTGGGGGAGATAGGGTTTAGGGTTTAGGGTTTAGGGTTTAGGGTTTAGGGTTTAGGGTTTAGGGTTTGGGGTTTGGGGTTTGGGGTTTAGGTTTTAGGGATGTTCCCCCTTATGCTAACAGTCCTTAATAGGGATTATAATAGGGGCACTACAATCCCTACTAAGGACTGTTAGTATAAGGGGGAACATCCCAATTCAAGAAGCTGGAGCTTCCTTTGTGACAAGAAGAATAACCACAACAATTATTCTACTCATAAGAATCAGAATATGAATAATCATAATTGTTTTCATTATACCGAAGTAGCAATAATAATAGTAATAATAACAGTACTGATACTATAGCAATAACAATCATAACAAACAGATATGAAAATCTGAAAACAAACTCCTGCAACTCTGTGCAGCAGGGGCCTGTATCTCCATGGACAGCACGAGCTCCGGGACTTGGCTTCCAGAAGGCAAGACCAAGGTCTGAAAACTGAGCTGATCGGACAAGATCCGTTAAACCCTAAACCCTAAACCCTAAACCCTAAACCCTAAACCCTAAACCCTAAACCCTAGACCCTAGACCCCAGACCCCAGACCCTAGACCCTAGACCCAACCATGCCCACCTATAACCCAGTTGATCCGAGACTGGGGCCGGTCCTATAGTCGTTGGGAACCCGTTGGCACGCCGGCGCCAGCTGAGGTAGTCCCGTGCGCGCCGTGCCTGGTTTAGGGTTTAGGGTTTAGGGTTTAGGGTTTAGGGTTTAGGGTTTAGGGTTTAGGGTTTAGGGTTTAGGGTTTAGGGTTTAGGGTTTAGGGTTTAGGGTTTAGGGTTTAGGGTTTAGGGTTTAGGGTTCTGTTCATTGGAAAGCTTCCAAGGACTACGAAGGGCCACCGAGTTTGGGCCCCGAGGGTCAGGCCGTTGCCGTCCACCGCGTCGTCATCCTGTCCGCGCGTTTAGGGTTCAGGGTTCAGGGTTCAGGGTTCAGGGTTCAGGGTTCAGGGTTCAGGGTTCAGGGTTTAGGGTTTAGGGTTTAGGGTTTAGGGTTTAGGGTTTAGGGTTTAGGGTTTAGGGTTTAGGGTTTAGGGTTTAGGGTTTAGGGTTTAGGGTTTAGGGTTTAGGGTTTAGGGTTTAGGGTTTAGGGTTTAGGGTTTAGGGTTTAGGGTTTAGGGTTTAGGGTTTAGGGTTTAGGGTTTAGGGTTTAGGGGGCATTCTAGGGTAGTTCGGTTCTGTCGTCTACAACGGGCTAGTGGAAGTGGAAGAGCGCGTCAGAAGAGCAGCCTGTCTCCTCAGGACCAGAATGTGGCTTTGCCAGCATATGATGACCTAAAACCAAGTCAAGCGCAACTGAAATGTTCAACGCACCCATGATAATCACGATGACTACCTACAACTGTTAGTAGTAGAACAACAATAATAATGACAACGATGACGATCATTTTTTTAGTAGTAGTAGTAGTAGTAGTAGTAGTAGTAGTAGTAGTAGTAGTAGTAGTAGTAGTAGTAGTAGTAGTAGTAGTAGTAGTAGTAGTAGTGGTAGTAGTAGTAGTAGTAGTAGTAGTAGTAGCAGCAGCAATAGCAAAAGTAGCCTAGCAGTAGCAGTAGCAGTAGCCAGTAAGCAGTAAGCAGTCAGCAGTCAGCAGTCAGCAGTCAGCAGTCAGCAGAAGTAAGTAAGTAGCAGAAAGCAGCAGCAAGAGCAGTCAGTTGGAAGAGAACAGTTAGCAGTTGGTAGTCACTAGTCCGTGGACAGTGGTTGGTGGTAGTAAAAAACTAGAAGAGGGATGGCCCGAAAGCATCGATTTGCCGTGCGTTGACTCCATGCAGTTGACTCTTTGCAGCCGAAGTGTATGCACTTGGACAAATGTATGCACTTACATGGTTGCATAGTCACTTGTGCACTGCACCTGTCTACTGGACGTGTATGCACTTGAACTGCATGGCATTCAAGTGTGTGGAGTTGAATGCCATGCACTTGTGGCCAACTCTTTACACTTCATCGGCATTGATTACAACGCCGAGCTCCGATGCTTCCACGGTGTACTGCGTTTGTGCTACAAAAGCCGACTTTCCAGGCATGTTTTGGAACCAGCGAATTCGGGGGACCATGCTATTTGCGATGGTTTTGGAACCAGCGAACTCGGTGACCATGGTACTTGCGATGGTTTTGGAACCACGATATTTACGAGGTTTTCGAGGCCCCGGAATTCGAGTCCCACGATATTTGCGAGGTTTTCGAGGCCCCGGAATTCGAGTCCCACGATATTTGCAAGGGTTTCGAGGAATTCGAGTCCCACGATATTTGCGATGGTTTCGACATCCCGGAATTCGAGCCCCACGATATTTGCGAGGTTTTCGAGGCCCGGGAATTCGAGTCCCACGATATTTGCAAGGGTTTCGAGGAATTCGAGTCCCAGGATATTTGCGATGGCTTTGACGTCCCGGAATTCGAGTCCCACATGTCCGTGAATTCGGGGACCATGGTATTTGCGATGCTTTTGGAAGAGCGAATTCGGGGACCATGGTTTTCGCGATGGTGTTTGGAACCAGCGAATTCGGGGACCATGGTATTTGCGATGGTTTTGGAACCAGCGAATACGGGGACCATGGTGTTTGCGATGGTTTTGGAAACAGCGAATTCGAGGACCATGGTATTTGCCATCGATGGTTTTGGAACCAGCGAATTCGGTGACCATGGTATTTGCGATGGCTTTGGAACAACCAGCAAAAGACAAAAACATCCCCGTGTCTTCACGCGCGCGGAAGTCCGTTACCATGCTATTTGCGGTGTTTTCAAGCTCCCAGATGTCGGTTACCGTGCTATTTGCGGTGTTTTTCAAGCGCCCAGATGTCCGTTACCATGCTATTTGCGGTGTTTTTCAGGCGCCCAGATGTCCGTTACCGTGCTATTTGCGGTGTTTTCATGCGCCCAGATGTCCGTTACCATGCTATTTGCGGTGTTTTCAAGCACCCAGATGTCCGTTACCGTGCTAATTGCGGTGTTTCCAAGCGTTACCATGCTCTTTGCGCTGTTCTCAAGCGCCCAGATGTCGAGCGCCCAGATGTCCGTTGTCCCCGGCGTACTACGTCTGTACCACAAAAGTCGACTTTCCAGCCACGGAAGCTCCGGGTGTCCGCGGCGTACTACGTCTGTACTACAAAAGTCGACTTTCCAGCCACGGAAGCTCGCGGCGTACTACGTCTGTGCTACAAAAGTCGACTTTCTAGCCACGGAAGCTCCGCGTGTCCGCGGCGTACTACGTCTGTACTACAAAAGTCGACTTTCCAGCCACGGAAGCTCCGGGTGTCCGCGGCGTACTACGTCTGTACTACAAAAGTAGACTTTCCAGCCACGGAAGCTCCGGGTGTCCGCGGCGTACTACGTCTGTACTACAAAGTCGACTTCCGGCCACGGAAGCTCCGGGCGTCCCCGGCGTACTACATTGTACTACAAAATGTCGACTTTCCAGCCACGGAAGCTCCGGGTGTCCGCGGCGTACTACGTCTGTACTACAAAAGTAGACTTTCCAGCCACAGAAGCTCCGGGTGTCCGCGGCGTACTACGTCTGTACTACAAAGTCGACTTTCCGGCCACGGAAGCTCCGGGCGTCCCCGGCGTACTACATTGTACTACAAAAGTCGACTTTCCAGCCACGGAAGCTCCGGGTGTCCGCGGCGTACTGCGTTTGTACTACAAAAGTCAACTTTCCAGCCACGGAACACTACGGTTTTAGCACCGCGACCATGCGAAAACCCACAGAGGGGTTACGTTTGTATGTCAGGAAACACAAAAACACGAGGGTTTTGGCACCGCGCCAACGCCGAAACCCGCAGAGGGGTTACGTTTGTATGTCAAAAAACGCAAAAACTCCACGGTTTTGGCACCGCGCCAACGCCGAAACCCGCAGAGGGTTGTCTGCGGCCACGGAAAAAAGTTCCAAAAACGACGGTTTTAGCACCGCGACCCGGCGATCACCCGCAGAGGGTTGTCCGCGGACACAAAGAAACGTAAAAAAAACGACGGTTTTGGCACCGCGACCACGCCGAAACCCGCAGAGGGTTGTCCGCGCAAATCAAGAAACGTAAAAAAACGACGGTTTTAGCACCGCGACCACGCCGAAACCCGCAGAGGGTTGTCCGCGCAAATCAAGAAACGTAAAAAAACGACGGTTTTAGCACCGCGACCACGCCGAAACCCGCAGAGGGTTGCAATCCCGATTGGCGATGTCCCCAGCCCGCCGCCTTAGAAAGAGTAATTTTTATTTAGAAATCTAGGACTGGGTACGAAGGTCTAGTAAATTCTACGTAAATCTAGAAATTTGTATTCACTGATTACTAAACTCTATGCAATTCACTCTATGCAATTCACTCTTGCTCTATGCGCTTCACTCTATGCACTTCGCTCTATGCACTTCACTCTATGCACTTCGCTCTATGCACTTCACTCTATGCACTTCACTCTACGCACTTCACTCTATGCACTTCACTCTATGCACTTCACTCTATGCACTTCACTCTATGCACTTCAGTCTATGTTGTTGTGTCAGGGGGCTCCGCACGGAAGAACCCTTCGCGATGCTTTCGGGAACAATATTTCACACAATAACATCCACAAATTTAATAACAACAATGTCACAACAATAACGCGTAACATGCTCCTGACGACAACGACAGGGCTTCCTTCTCTCAACTTGAACTGAAGCTCCTCAACAGCAACCCAGGAACAGATCAGGAGCAGGGATAGGGGATAGGATTAGGGGGACCCTTGGGGATATAGACCCTCTGAATAAGGTCCCTGTTTAAGAGAGCCAGAAGAGGGTTAAGAAGGGTTCCCTTTTCAGGGTCCCCCCTTATCCTACCTAGGAAAGGAGGCGAAGGGTGGCCTCCATGTCTTCCGTGGAGTTGCTGGCATTGGCCGAGCCAGGCACGCCTCGGACTTCGGAATTTCGGAGTGCGCACGCGGCCGCCCGAGGCCGGCTTTTCAGAGGTTGCGGGGCCCATCCAGAACCCTAAACCCTAAACCCGAAACCCTAAACCTTAAACCCTAAACCCTAAACCCTACTCCCCCTGCGTGACTCGGCCACTGGCCCAGGCCACATCGGGTGCCTGCCCAAGGCTCGAGCAGGAGACAGCATTGGGAGACTCACCGGCACCCTACTTGGAGGTTCAGGGTTTAGGGTTAGGATTTAGGGTTTAGGATTTAGGGTTTAGGGTTTAGGGGTCAGGGTACTGAAAAAGCAGGGGTATAAGTACTGTAAGTATGGTTCTAACCTTATTTAAGGTACTTAACTATAAGTAACTGTGAACCTCCAAGTTGTCTCGGACAGCATGGGGCAAAACTTCCCTGATGCCTGGTCGCTGTGCATCACTCAGCAAGCGACCGTTGCTGCCGTAAGCCCTGAACCTGCAACAAAGAGCTTCAGAGCGCATGGACCGCATGGATGTGCAGAGGGCCATGGGGGCTGAAACCTAAGTTGCTCTCTACTCTTCTCTTGCCGTTACAGTCGGCACTCTCTGCCGACTAGAGCTGTTCGTACAGCTGTTCATGCCCTTGCCTGAAATAGTTCATGATTCTGCACAGAACGCTACCGGTTGCTCTCACCTGACCCATCAGTATCCACATGAATGAACTTCCTGAATGCAAGACGTTGCTCGAAACTTGTCGTCGCCATGCAGTGCTGCGTCAATGCGCAGTGTAGCTTCTCACAATGCAGTAAGGACATGTCCGCCAACAACAACATCGTCAACATGAAAAGCTGGCTTGCTCCTGCTATAGCTTGCCGCGTCTCATCACTGCGGGCTTGGGTTCTTCATCACCTCAATCCTTCCAACCATGTACATGAGGATGACAAGATGTTCAAGGGCCAGCTGAATGGCGCAGAATATTGGGGTCGAAACCACGAGCACTTCATCGAAGAGCAAGGCGGTTGCAATAGCCTACCATGCATAGATACTCGTGAGACTGCGATAGCACGGGGTCCCACCCTCGGCAAACAAGCATTCGACACCCCAATCACGCCTATACGCCCAAAGTCCGGTCAACTGAGCACCCGAACTGACAGCGAGCTTCGCTTGGCAGGGCGTTGAGCGCACGAAACTCAACGAAGCCACCTGCAAAGACCTGGGAGCTACACACACGGCTCTGCCGAGGCGAAGGAACACTGTAGAGGACAAAACTCAACGTCAAAAAGTTTTAGGGTTTAATTAGGGCTTAGGGTTTGACTCGCCGTTTGACTGTCATTTCTGCCCTCCCCCAGCGCCTTGGAGTCACGACCGGGCTTCACCGGGAGGACGATGGGGTCCCATCTCAGCCTGAGTCAACGCGTTGCGTGTCTATCATTCATAGGTCACGCATTCCCAGGTACCTACGCTTCTTTCAGAACGGCCCTTGTGGACTCCAGTGGCTCGGTGCCCTGGGCGCAGCGCTCCAGGCGCAGACCATCTTGGATCTTGTAGTAGAGACTCGGCGCAGGTGCTGAGCTACTATGTTGGGCTCAAGTCGAAAGGGATGTGCTGGAGGATCTGGGGTGTTCAAGGTCCTACACTCCCTTGGACTCTTGGGCAACTTCCCCAAAATAGGGGACCCCGAATACGCGCCGAGACTCCCCGTGTGACCCTGATTATATGAGCACAAACAAGTTACAACCACATTTTCGGAAACCCTAAACCCTAAACCCTAACCCCTAAACCCTAAACCCTAAACCCTTGTTGCAAGCACACGACCTGCCCGAGTCCACGGAGAGAAGCAGCTTGGCTTCGTATTCCACATTGCGGGCCTCCAGGGAAAAAACCCCGAAAACCTTTAACCTTAAGCACCGAACCCTTTTGCACCGAACCCCTTTATGAGCCCTAAACCCTAAGACACAACCTTAAACCTTAAACCCCAAACCTTTTATGAGCCCTAAATAAGCAGCAAAGAAATCCAAGAAGGCGCCTCATGCCAAGCAAGTCGGCTGTCCAATGGCACCCAGCGACACCCCAGCCAGAACCGAACCCAAACCATCCACCGGCTGTAACTCCAACAACAAGAACAAGAACTGAAACAAAAGCAAAAAGGATCGTTGCAGTAATAACAAACCATGCAACATCAAAACACGTACAAACAAGAACAAAAACGAGAACGAGAACAGTAATGACAAACCCTAAACCCTAAACTCTAATTAAACTCTACACCCTAGACCCTAAACCCTATGTACACCCTAAACCCTAAACCCTGAACCTTAAACCCTAAACCCTAAACCCTAAACCGCCCGCTGCACAATCGGTGGTGTTCAGCCACAAACCACTCCGAGGCAGCATGTGTTCCTAAGCTCTTCTTGACGGAACAAAGGGGAACTTTCAGCATAAATGGGGTGATATGTACCGCAAACAAGGTTCTCACCATAGTTGCCCTACTGAAAAACCTACTTCTCCATTCCCATGAACCCCCCCAAGAAGCCCTAAACCCTAAACCCCAAACCCCAAACCCTAAACCCTGAACCCTAGTTCCGACCTCAGCCAGCTCCGTAGGCAGCACAGGGGACATGCAAGTCCTCGGAGCGTGGGAAGATGTGGGAAGTTTTTGAGCTCCTTAGGGCTTAGGGTTTAGGGTTTAGGGTTTAGGGTTTAGGGTTCAGGGTTCAGGGTTTAGGGTTTAGGGTTTAGGGTTTAGGGTTTAGGGTTTAGGGTTTCTTACATTCGAGCACGGGAACTAATGTGGGGGTTTACGACTAATGTAGGGGTTTACGAAAATAGGGGACCCCCTAAACGGACCCCCCCAAATAGTAAGATTCCCTTATCATACGGACCCCAATAAAACTACCCCTAATTTCGTAAACCCCCATGTAGAAGACATATTCTTTGAATTCGTATCCCTGTCATGCATGCGTAATGAAAACGCTGAATCCTAAACCATAAACCCTAAACCCTAAACCCCAAACCCTAAACCCTAAAGCCTAAACTCTCTGCATGGCACTCCAAGGGCCCTGCACCAGGTGCTCGTGAGGGCCGCATCCCACAGCGGTCTGACTGCAACTGCAGAAGCGTTCCGCCTGGGAAGTCTAGAATTCTAGGGTTTAGGGTTTACTAGGGAAGTAAGGTTTAGGATTTAGGGTTCAAGGGTTCTAGGGAAATTTAGGATTCTAGGGTTTAGGGTTTAGGGTTCTAGGGAAGTAGGGTTTAGGGTTCTAGGGAAGTTTTGGATTCTAGGGGGGGGTTAGGACTTCAATGGCTTAGGGTTAGGAACTTGGGAAGTTATGGGGTTTAGGGCTACTTCTGCATACGCCCTGGCTACTGCTGCATCACACGCTTCAACACTCTAGCTTCAAGGCATCCCAACAAAGGGGTCTTCCATTTTCCGAGGATGCCCCCGACGCAGGACGCAGAGTCTTCTTGTAGCTCCATCGGGTCATCTGGCGACGCATGGAGCTTCTGTCAGAAGAATGGCCAGCCACAAACACGAGCTGCCGTACGGCCACAAACCCGATGACGTCAGGTGCAAGAACTGCGCAGTGATCCTCCGCAGCTTCGACACCAGCGTGAAATGTTTAAAAACCCTGTTGTGGAGGAAGGCAAGGTTGTGCACCGATGAATGTTTGTTTGGGCTGTGTATCCCTGAGCTACTGTGCATTCCTGAGCTAATTCGAGTATGCGTCTTGGGCATCTCGAAGCTACGTTGAGTGAGAACGTACATGCACCCTGCCCCTCTTCGCCAACTCCGGGGCGTCGTGCGTCTACGTGTATAGGTAGATAAGCAGATACATACTGCACAGATGCTAACACCCAAGCTGAAAAGAAACCCCCAACAACTGTAGCGGCTTCAGCATGAGCACACAAAACCAAACCCCTAAACACCAAGCCTTAAACACACTCAAGCCCCAAACTTTTAACCCGCCAACCTAATCTCTGGCCCTTTTGAACCCCAAAATTTTAAGACCCTGAGGCCCTAAACAGACAAATCTTAAACCCCAAGCAAACCCCTGGCCTAAACCCTACGTAATGCCAAGCGCATCAACCCTCAAAGCCTGTAGATGTAGAGCCTACACCCTAAACCTAGACGCCTTAGACCCCTTCAAACCCTAAGACCCGCAAGACCCCAAACCCGAAACCTCACATACCCCGAACCCCTAAACCCGCAACCCCCAACCTTCTACCTTAAATTTAACCTCAACCTTAAACCCTAAGCCCTCAACCCTAAACCCTATACCCTTAACCCTCAAACCCCTATACCTTCAACCCTAAACCCCCTACACCCTCAACCCTTAAACCCCTATACCCTCAACCCTAAAACCCTAAACCTTAAACTCTAAACCCTAAACCCTACACCCCAATACCCTCAACCCTGCAACCCCTAAACCCTAAACCCTAAACCCTAAAACCCTACTGCAAACCTCCGGTGCTGGGACGCCGACCTCCGGGTCGGCGGCGCAGCGCATCGCAAAGGTGGGCTGCCCGGCGTCGATCAAGACAGGAAGGCTGCCGACACCTTGGGGTTTAGGGTTTAGGGTTTAGGGTTTAGGGTTTAGGGTTTAGGGTTTAGGGTTTAGGGTTTAGGGTTTAGGGTTTAGGGTTTAGGGTTTAGGGTTTAGGGTTTAGGGTTTAGGGACAGGACTTAGAGGCCTCAGAGGATCTTAAAGGCTGTAAGGTGGAGGAAGTTGAGAGGCATTCTTGGACAAGGTTCGAGGCAAGAATCAATGAGGGGCGTGTCCCTAGACCCTAAACCCTAACCCTAAACCCTAAACCCTAAACCCTAAACCCTAAACCCTAAACCCTAGACCCTAAACCCTAAACCCTAGACCCTAAACCCTAAACCCAAACCCTAGACCCGCTGGCGGATTCGTCCAAGGCCCCTTCGCAATGATCCGCAAGAGGTACACAACACTAAGAAGCAACTCATCTATGCCTGTATGTAGACCTGCAAAGGTCAGTTGTTTTAAATACCTGTCCCCAAAAGTAGCCGATTTCCTTTGAAAGCATCTTACTTCGAACATCCCCACCCTGCAGGTAAGGAATTTGCGAGCACACTCTGGGGTTGGGCCGGTTGGGCACTCCAGGGATACGCGGAAATTCTCAGGGTAATTTCTGGGATTGGGAAGATAGGCGCTCCAGTGACTCTCTCGGGATGATCTGATGTTGGGCACTCTAGGCCTGCGCACTCCAGGGCTTCTCTCTGGGATTACTCCGGAATTTGGCACTCCAGGAAGTTTTAAGGATACTCTGGGATTGTCTGGGTTGGGCACTCCAGGTATCTCTTGGGCACTCCAGGGATGTAGACAAACTCTTTGGTGCAACTCTGGGTTGGGCACTCCGGGGACTCCGGCGAGGGCTCTGGGGTGGGATCTGGGTGATGGGTGAGGAGTAGATCGGGCGAGAAAAAAATTTCAGTTCAAATTCTAACCACAGAGAAAAAGGATTCTTTTTCAGGAACTCCGTTCCCAATGGCTCACCCCTTAACAGGACCTATAGCACGAAACCCTAACCCTAAACCCCAGCGTTGTTTCGAATACCTGTGTATGGGCACTTCCCAAAATAGGAGGACCCCTAAGATACCCCGAGACTAGACTGGAATCCCCTTAAAGGGTCCCCCAAAATGGGTACCCCCCTAATATCGTAAACCCCCATGTCGTGGTGGTGTCAGGTGCCATGGGAGGCCTTCTCCGCTGATGGCATAGACGTGCCATTGGCAGTACACGTCCTGTCGCGTCTCCAGGCGCTGGCAGGGGTCACGGTTATTTAGGGCTCAGGGTTTGAGAGAGTTAGGGTTTAGGGTTAAGAAACTAAGTAGGGTGAATAATCCGAGCTCCCGTTTAATTGGGGGGGGGGCCCCCCCCCTCCCCCCCCCCCACAATAAGGAATGCAGGGTTCCGCAATAGTTGGACCATGGCCCTGTATTGATTCTCTACTAAAACAATAGGCTGCAGATCCGGAGAGGTGCTGTAGCTTCGCATCTCCGCAAGCAAAACAAGAAGCCTGCCGACAGATTCGAACGCCCCCCAAAAAAATTCCTTTAAATGTGGGGGGGTATCCCCATACGAAATCCACCCTAATGGAAAGTAGTCTTCCGGCGGGCTTCCGGCCGAAAAAACTTTCTTTAAATGTGGGGGGGTTTGATTAAACAGGTGCTCGGATTAGGGTTGATAGGGTGAATAGAGTTTATGGGGTTAGTAGGGTTGATAGGGTTAATAGGGTTAATTGGGTTAATTGGGTTAATAGGGTTTAGGTTCAAGGCAGCAGCTTGCAACGGCGCCTGGCTGTAGAAAGAGGCGCTGCCTTCCAGCACGGACCTCTCCACTTCAGTGGGCACGAAGACATCGTCCAAGATCACCCGCACCTCACGGGCGGGGAGAGGTTTAGGGTTTAGGGTTCAGGGTTAGGGTTTGGGGTTTAGGGTTTGGGTTTAGGGTTTAGGGTTTAGGGTTTGGGGTTTAGGGTTTGGGGTTTAGGGTTTGGGGTTTAGGGTTTCAGGTTTAGGGGAGGGGGGACCCGTATGCCTTGTTGCTATTGCTAGTGGCATTTCTCTTATGGTACAAGGGATCTGAAGCCTCTCTGCGACGACGAGTTGGAACATCTAGTAGAAGCACCCGACAGGAGAACCACCATGTAGAACAAAACTTTCAAAACCTACGTAGGGATTTCCCGAAGGTTACCACCGAAGTACCCCCAAATCCTGACTCTTTTTATGGGAATCCTACAAACAGGCCACCCCAAATTTTGGGAAACCCCTACTTCTTAAGCCCGCCCTGCTGAACTAATCCGCCGAGGCCTCGGGCCGGAGGTGTATAGGTTGTCAGAACAGGCACAGCCTCCAAATCCTCCCCCCACCGTTTTAATGGGTATTTCCTCTCTAGGAAACGGGTCCGGACGGTTCGCCAGGACCCCTCTCCCCCCTTACCCCCCCCCCCTACCCCTCCCTGCCCCCCCGCTGCCCCACCCCCCCCCCCTGCCCCCCCTTGCCCGAGCACGGCCGGGGTGCAAGCTTGAACATTAACCTTAAACCTGAAGCACCCCCCCCCTCCCCTGCCTGGCTCAACCTACGATCAATCCAAGCCGAACTGTCTCTTGAACCCGAAACCCAAAAAAACCCTAAACCCCAAAGCGTGTCCTAACCTAACCCTCAACCCTAAACCCCAAACCATAAACCATAAACCCGGAACCCTCAACCCTAAACCCAACCCTTATTGCTTGGGGTCCAGCGACTTGGGCCCTGCGGAATCACCATGCTCACGCGGATGCGCTGGGCCGGGCCGAGGCGGGTCGCGTAGCGTTAAAATTAATGAATTCATGAACCTCCTCCTCTTGCAAACCTCCTGTAAAACTTGCAAGAAACCTCCTAGGAAACCTATCAACCCTACGAACCCTACGAACCCTACGAACCCTACAAACCCTTCAAACCCTATAAACCCCGTGAACCCTGTAAACCCGATAAACCCGCGATAAACCCGTAACCCTAAACGCGAAACCCTAAACCCTAAACCCTAAACCCCAAACCCTATAAACCCTAAACCCTGTGCCAGGCCCACAGTAAACCCCATAAACCCTTTACATGCGAAGACCCAACCCACAGGGGGCGCAGCCGGCCGGCGCGGCCCCACGACGGAGGGCCGGAGCCTTGGCAGATGGACCGTTAACCCCCTAAAAAGCACTGAACTCTAGGGTCTAGGGTCTAGGGTCTAGGGTCTAGGGTCTAGGGTTTAGGGTTTAGGGTTCAGGGTTTAGGGTTTAGGGTTTAGGGTATAAACCCTACCTCACCCTTAAACTTGAAAACCCTAAACCCTCAACCCTACACCCTAAACCCTACCTCACCCTAAAACCCTAAAGATCTCTCCGCAAAGTCCCTAAAGAAAGCTGGCAGCCGACCTTGCGTGCTCTTTGGCTCCAGGCCCCGAGGCGTGCAGTGGCGCAAGAACCTGTTTAGGATTTCAGGCTTTGGGGGTTTAGGGGTTTTAGGGCTTTTAGGGGTTTAGGGCTTTAGGGGTTTAAGGGTTTAAGGCTTGTACAACCCAAAACTACTAAGTATAACTATTACAATCACTAGATCTATTGATGTTGCTATGACTAGTGCCATGGCTGCTGCTATGACTATGACGATAACTATGACTCTTACTATTCCTACTGCTACTGCTACAACTATACTTCGCGTCACTTGTACTTGGTCCACAACTGTTCTTGGTGTAACTATAGGGTTTAGGGTTTAGGGTTTAGGGTTCAGGGTTTAAGGTTTAGGGTTGCTTGGTAGCCCAGTAACCATAGCACAACAAGGGTGCCCTTTGGGGTTGGGGTTTATCTTAGAACGGAACTGTGAACCAACAGACAGGGCAAAGGGCACCACAGGGCCACCAAGACTAGTAAGTGCTTAAGAGCCACAAATTAAAGAAAAGCAAATATACATTTATTATACTATATTCTATTCTATTCTATTCGATTATATGATATATATATATGTATATATATCGAAATTCTTGTTCTTCACCATAAGGGTAATATAGGGATTATCATTTTCATTCTTTTAGGGTTCTCAAGCAAACTAGTAGAAGATAATCATGACCATCGACTGGACGACGGGCGCCTCAAAAACCGGCAAGTCGCTGCTATCCGGCCGGGCGACGGCTCCGGAGGCCTCCGGCTGTAAGGCTTAGGATTTCTGGGTTCCCCCCGACCCTAAACCCTAAACCCTAAACCCTAAACCCCATCCGAGTACTGCGCCTGCCACACCAAACCCGTTCAAATCTCATCCGAGTACTGCGCCAGCCACACCAAACCCATTCAAATCTCATCCGAGTACTGAACCCGAAACCCGAACCCTAAAGCCGCAAGCCCCAAGCCCTAACCCCTTCGACCCTAAACCCGAAACCCCACCAGAAACCACCCAAAACCCCTAAAACCCCCTAAGCCCTGAGCTTGAAAAGTGTGAAAACTTGAGGCTGATGCCTGGAAGTGGATCGCCACCCTCGGCCGGAGCTGCGTGAGAAAGTTCATTCTCATCAATTTTTGCCATTACTACTCGTCTGATGATTCCTACTGCTAGTAAAACTATTAACATTCTTACTGCTCGTACTATCTCTACTATTGTTAGTATTACTGCCATTTCCTATTTTTTAGTAGTCTTCTTCGCCATCTATCCAGTACACCGTGAAGTACGGTGAAGCTCAAACATGTCGGACCAGCATGTGGCAGCGGTAGCCGAGGGTGCTGCTGGTAGCGTCCACCCTGCAATGGCGGATCCTCCGGCAGAGGGCACACGACCAGCGTCGTGTTCACACTCATGGCTGGGACCTCGAAGCGTTTTAGAAGGATGAGTGGTTTAGGGTTTAGGGTTTCGGGTTTGGGGTTTGGGGTTTAGGGTTTAGGGCTTAGGGCTTAGGGTTTAGGGTTTAGGGTTTTTGGATGCCAAACCTATTAAACATAGCGGTGCTTACAAAGTAGGGGGCGTTACCTTGCCTATTCGGATTCCATTCTGCAAACAGGAGAGCCTCCCACAGGACCTTACTTGGAGGTTCATGGGCACGTATAACCCACTTCGGGGGCTCATAAGTTAAGTTAAAATTGGGGTTATAAGTACCCTCAACCTCCAAGTACCTTACCCTATATCCCCTCTATATATATACCCTTTAAGGGATTATGTGGGGTACCTCACTCCCTCATTCCCTACTGGCCAACAGAAAGCAACGGGACCTTACCTCCACATCAAGAACCCTAAACCCTAAACCCTAAACCCTAAACCCTAAACCCTAAATTGGGCTTGTAAGTACATCAAGAGTCAGAAAGCACACCCTGCAACTCGGGGTTGCGGCCACTGCACGCTCGCGGCCTGGCACGGCTTGCCACGCAGACATCTCAGGGTCTAGGGTTTCGGGTTTCGGGTTTCGGGTTTAGGGTTTAGGGTTTAGGGTTTAGGGTTGAATGAGGGTTTAGGAGTTATGGGATTTTTAGGGTTTAGGGTTTAGGGTTTAGGGTTTAGGGTTGAATGAGGGTTCAGGAGTTATGGGATTTTTAGGGTTTAGGATTTAGGGTTTAGGGTTTAGGGTTTAGGGTCTTGGAGTTTGAGGTGGCCGCGTGTGTCTTGGTCGTGGCAGACCCGCCTCTGCTGTCCTCCTGCGCCGGGAAGAAGATGCATTGGATTCCCGATTCTCGCTTGAAGTGGGCACCATACACCTCAAACCAACTGTACAGGGTTTAGGGTTTAGGGTTTGGGGTTTGGGGTTTAGGGTTTAGGGTTTAGGGGGGCAGTGCGATGACGGCACGCAAAAGCTGAGGGCAAAGCATAGATTCGGCGACCCTGTTCCTGGTACATGACCAGAGGCCGAACCGCATTGATTTGCGGTGGATCTGTGACCTGACAATATGGCTTCCAGTATGGAGAGCAGATAGCACACGCGGTCCTGTTGCTGAGCGCCGTGACCAACACCAGAACAGACGGCGTAAGTGCCGGATCTTTTGGGATGGGCCTCAGGCTCTTTCTTGCGTTTGCTCTTAAGTCTCTGAAAAACAGGCACTGCAATAAGTTGGGATGTTCCCCTTATACTGACAGTCCTTAATAGGGATTAGAGTACCTTCCATTATCATCCCTATTAAGGACTGTTAGTATAAGCCCTAAACCCTAAACCCTAAACCCTAAACCTTAAAACCCTAAACCTTAAAACCCCAAACCTTAAAACCCTAAGGGGAACATCCCAAGTAACAAGTAGTAAGGGGCCGGCCCATCGATCGACAAGCCAAAGAGACCCGAACCGTCTGCGAAGTCTTCGGCAATCCTGGGAGCCAACTGAGGTTTAGGGTTTAGGATTTAGGGTTTAGGGTTTAGGGCTTAGTGCTTAGGGTTTAGGGTATAGGGATTAGGGTTTAGGGTTTAGGGTTTAGGGTTTAGAGGCAAGAGCCAAGAGCGCAGAGACCAGGTTCCAGGCGATTTAGGCGATTTCGGCCCAAGAGTGGCCGAAATTGCTACCCTAAACCCTAAACCCTAAACCCTAAACCCTAAACCCCCTAAACCCTAAACCTTAAACCCTAAACCCTAAGCCCCCCAAGTTCCCCACACTTTGTCTGGCCGCAGTCGCACCCGGCCACCGTGGAAGGAACAGCTCGTGACGTTGTGCGTGACGGAGAGGACAGTGCCCTGGGCCGAGGCACATCAATCCCAGGCCTGTGATTTTAGCCCTTGTTTGGGGTTTAGGGTTAGGGCTTAGGGCTTAGGGCTTAGGGCTTAGGGCTTAGGGCTTAGGGCTTAGGGTTTAGGGTTTAGGGTTTAGGGTTTAGGGTTTTTTTTTTTGCTATGGCCCTGCGCGCCAGTCCACGCGCTTTGGCGTCTTCCCGAGTTGGGGGTTTCTCAGCTCCTTGTGTACTTGGGCGTACTTATAATGAGGTCCTAGGGCGGGGTGGTCGGGGGAGTTGCAAATGTGAGGAAAGTACTGGCGAGAGACCACTTCAACCCAGTAGGGAAATTGCATACCCCGCCGACGTCCCTGGCTGAGAATCCGATCCTTGTGAGCCGAACCGAAGACTACAGAGTGATATACCTCCTTTCTAGGAGCCAAGAATACCTCCCTCATCATTTTATATTGCATGTCCGAGAGCAGGTGGGATGGAAGGCGTGGTCTGTGTGCCTGTTCATAGACCTCTACGTTGGGGATTCTGGAGTAATAGGAGGCCTTAATTCGCACTACTCTTCTAAGGAAACGAATGTAAAATGCATCTATTCTTTAGGGTTTAGGGTTTAGGGTTTAGGGTTTAGGGTTTAGGGTTTAGGGTTTAGGGTTTAGGGTTTAGCGTTTAGGGTTTAGGGTTTAGGGTTTAGGGTTAGGTGCCCAGAAAAGGAACTACCAATCAGAGGTCAGGGTAGCACCGGAGCGAGCACCAAAGGAAGCCCTTGCCTCGAAATCTCCCAGAAAGCATCGGGGCGAGCGGTCATTGTTGATTCCGACCGCATTGTTGAAGTGGCCTTCAGACGCCCACAATTCAACTCACACGATTCTTGCAAGGATGTTAAGAGCACTGGAACCCCAACCATGACGGGAGTCTGAGTCTGGGAAGAAAAACACTGGGGGCTTTGCTTCCGACCAGGTCGAGGATGGTGCACTCTTCACAGAACTTATCCGCACCTTGGGTCTGCTTCGGGCGAAGAAGGGTTTAGGGTTTGGGGTTTAGGGTTTAGGGTTTAGGGTTTAGGGTTTAGGATTTAGGGTTTAGGGTTTAGGGTGTATTCCTGGGCAATGGTACAGACCCGGTCATCAAGCGGGCTGAGTCACGGGCTGGTTCGGACCTCCGATGCGTCGAACAGGGTGGGCTGGGCGAGCACCGTCAGCGCCTTGGTCACTTTAAAGGATCCGGCCCCACAAACCCTAAACCCTAAATCCTAAACCCTGAACCCTAAACCCTAAACCCTAAACCCTAAACCCTAAACCCTAAACCTAAACCCTAAACCAGAGAATCACAGGCTTTACTGCGCCAGCTTGCAACTGACCTGGGACCACGGCCAGAGGGGGCTCCGACCAGTGAACCCCTCCATTCAGCCTAGGTCTCAGAAAAGAGGGGGGTTTAGGGTTTAGGGTTTAGGGTTTTGGGTTTAGTACTTAGGGCTTAGGGCTTAGGGTTTAGGGTTTAGGGTTTAGGGTTGAGGGTTTAGGGGTTAGGGTTTAGGGTTTAGGGTTTAGGGTTTAGGCATAATCTACTTATTGCTTAAGGAGACCCCAAACAACGTAAGAAATTCTTCCTTAAAAAGGGTAATATGGGGATTATTGTTGTATTATTCTTTCGGGGTTCTGAAGCAAATAGTGGTAATAGGAGTACCCCTTGTATACCCCAAACAGAGTCGAACCCCCTTAGAAAGACCCCCACAAAAAGGGCACCCTTATTTTCTTAAACCCCCATACAATTCCGTGGAAAAAGTCGGCTCTGGGAGTTCTTCTAATTTTGTCAGATCATCTATATTCATGACAAGCCAAGAGTTGAACATCAAAAGCCGGAAGCACAAAATCTGGAGTATAATCAGGCCCAATGGGTCCTGTAGAACAAGCTTATCCTTTCTCTTATTGGGCTTGGAGACACAGTACCGAACGATCAGAATGCATGGGTTAGTTCCCCTCCAAACCCTAAACCCTAAACCTTAAACCCTAAACCCTAAACCCTAAACAGAGGGTCGGACGATACCCGAAGGTTGCATGTCGATCTCCCGGAGAGCCCGGCCCACACTGAACTGGCCTGGCCATTGCTTCAGGAAGGCTCGGGAGGGGGGGGGGGGGGGGGGTGCTTTTTACGTAAAAAAACCCTAAATGGGTTTCTTAACGTTACAAAACCCTAAATGGGTTTTTAACGTTAAAACAAACCCTAAATGCGAAGAATTCCACCGCCCTGCCTGTGGAAGTGGACAGGAGAGCAGGCCTTCGGCCTGCACAAGAACATTCTCATTCTGCTTGGCGGACCAAGCCCTGACAGTCTGCCTCATCGATGATGGTGCCCGGCGTCGAGCTTACAGAGGAACCGCTGAATACCACGTCATGACCTCGAGGCAATCGGGCCGGCTACCCGGCGATCGCAACCGGATGGCTCAAGGCCGCGACAGTCGTCCAGGCGGCACAGCGGCAGAGACCCTGGCATCAGCTGGCCTCGAAGTGTAGGGCATGTCGCGGGAAATCGGCTTGTCTTCTAAACCCTAAACCCTAAACCCGAAACTCTATACTTTCAATCCTGTTTCTGAGCTTGCAGACCTGCCATCTTCACCTCTGCGGTCGATGCGGTCGCACCTGCCGAAGTGCTGCGGGTCACGCATCACGGTTTGACAGGGGGGCTAGGGCCAAGGACGATTTAGGCTTTAGGGTTTAGGGTTTAGGGTTTAGTGGCCAAGGACGCCTCCCTCGTCCCTGACAGAGGTCTGCCGCGGGGCTGAGGTGGGGAAGGAGCTGTATTCAAGAACCCTAAACCCTAAACCCTAAACCCTAAACCCTAAACCCTCCTTTGCCTCAACTAGTGGACCCAAGATGAGAGATGGCAAGACAAGAGTGGCTCCGTGAGCTCCGCAGTCGCTGTCCTGATAGCTCATCATACAGTACTTGGCTGTCCATGGGTGCTTACAAGTAGGGTGCTCCCTAAACCCTAAACCCTAAACCCTAAACCCTAAACCCTAAACCCTAAATACGGTTGCAACCATAGTTACCCTACTGCTAACCGCACACCCATGAACCTTCATGTTACCACAGCAAACTCCTGACGGCAACGACCTAAGCCACAGCCACGGAAGAGCGCAGTCTGACCCTAACATTCTGCGAACTAGCAACGGGAGAACCCTAAACCCTAAACCCTAAACCCTAAACTCTAAACCCTAAACCCTAAACCCTAAACCCTAAACTGCCCATCCTGATCCCTCTTGCCTGCCATGAGGACGAGCGTGGACGTCTGAGCCGCATCGAGGGTGGGAAGCACCTGCAAAGAGCGAGATGTTTACAGGTTGCCCGCGAGGTTTGGATGCGTTTTGACTATGCAAATATAGTATTCTAGGGCTGTGGGAATTCAAGATTCTAGGTTCTGCAAGGGCTAGTGGGGTCTTACGGTTTTATGGTTTCAGGGAAAATGGGGTCTCAGGGTCTTTCGGTGTAGTTTAGGATTTTTGATTTTCCTTACCTGTCAAACTTCCATCTTTTCCAGAAAGCAAAACCAAAGAAAACAAGAACAACAACCAAAGTTAAATAAAAATAACGGTACCCTGCTTTGATGCCATCATGACGAGACACACGCTCATCCACAAGACCTCTAGACTCGTCAGTCATGTCCACTTGCGGTCGCGCCAGGGCATACAACGTGCCCCTGAACTCGACACCCCAACCCCAACAGTCGTCGTTTCACCCGCCGCGCAACCCATTTCCCCCCGACTCTAAACCCCCTAAGCCCCCTAAACCCCTAAACCCTCAACCCCCTAAACCCTAAAACCCCGAAACTCTTAACCGCTCTAAACCCTGAACCCTCAACACCCTAAACCCTTAACCCCAAAGCCTCAAGAAGCAGCGGCTCGAACCCGAGCGGAGGGTCCGCGGGCCGCGCGGGACCTGAGAAAAAGAGGGTTCGGGGCAGTTTGGGGGGTTTAGGGTGTGGGGTTTAGGAATTAGGGTTTAGGGGTTTAGGGGTTTAGGGGTTTAGGGTTTAGGGTTTAGGGTTTAGGGTGTAGGGTTTAGGGTTTAGGGTTTAGGGTTTAGGGTTTAGGGTTTAGGGTTTAGGGTTTAGGGTTTAGGGTTTAGGGTTTAGGGTTTAGGGTTGCACTTGGGAGCTTTCTCTAGGCGTTCCAGTCTGGGAGACCCGGCCCTCAACCCTATAAAGGGCCTCTTTTAAGGGGTTCTGAGGTAAAATAGCCCATGCTGGTTGAGGTGTTTCTAGGGAGTCTTGCGTTAAAGATCATACTTGGAGGTTCATGGTACTTATAACCATATCAGGGCACTTCGGGGGCTTATAAGTGGGTTATAAGTACAGTGATAATTGGCTACTAAGTACCCCTAAGCCCTAAACCCTAAACCCTAACCCCTAAACCCTAAACCCTAAACCCTGAACCCTGAATCCTAGGATGCCTGCGGGCCACGTAGGAGGGCTAAGAGCAAGTGGCGCAGTCAGGCATCCTTCACCCCCTTAGGGTTTAGGGTTTAGGGTTTAGGGTTTAGGGTTTAGGGTTTAGGGTTTAGGGTTTAGGGTTTAGGGTTTAGGGTTTAGGCTTTAGGGCTTTAGGGCTTTAGGGCCTTAGGGCTTTAGGGTTTAGGGTTCAAGAATGATGATCATAAGGCAGGGTCAGCAGAACCACGGAGAGGCTTTCAACACTTGAGCGGCTTCGGTTGCTTCGAGGGCGTTGCCCGCTTGGGGGTTTGAGCCATCAAGGTGCATTTCAGACTAAAAAAGGGGCTAAGGGTTTAGGGTTTAGGGTATAGGGTTTAGGGTTTAGGGTAAGCACTGAGTCCTCCGAAAGAGGAGCTTCAAGGAATTTGCAAGTCCGAGAGATGCTGTGCGCGCGGCTGAAGACCAGCGACCTCTGCAATCAAAAGGAGTAGCTTGTCCCAAGTCAGTTGAACTGGGCTTAGGGTTCAGGGTTCAGGGTTCAGGGTTTAGGGTTTAGGGTTTAGGGTTTAGGGTTTAGGGTTTAGGGTTTTGGGTTTTTGGGTTTTTGGGTTTAGGGTTTAGGGTTTAGGGTTTAGGGTTTAGGGTTTGAAGCTCCGAAGATCTCCCTCTTGCAATTTGTGGCCCCTGCACGTTCATGCGCATGGATGGCGGGAATCCGTCTTCCGGTGTGCGACCTGGCCATGCAAAACTCATCGGCAAATGACAGCACTATTCATATGGTTAACATTATTCATATTCTTGATATTATGCATATTCGTAGTATTTCTCATTTTCTTGATATTATCTAGCCAAGTGAGAAGCGACTTGCTTTGCCCAACATGGGCAAGATTTGTCGAGCGCCGAGCACGTCCATGAGATGTTCGGCAGGCGACGGCATGCCTGGCTGGATCTCGGTCGCTCGACTTGCCCGACTCCAGTTCTGTTCTATGTTTGCAGGTTCGACAGCTCCGATGCAGCGGATGAAGCGTGCGGTGGTATGTAGATGGTTTGGGGTTTGGGGTTTAGGGTTTAGGGTTTAGGGTTTAGGGTTTAGGGTTTAGGGATTAGGGTTTAAGATGTGTGCTGCTGTCGTCAAGGATCACTGGGCTTCAGTACGTGAGCACTGGGTACCACAAGTTAGCATGCCTCTGAGACGAGATGCCAGATCCAAGCTTGGACACTACAGTTTAGGGCTTAGGGTTTAGGGTTTACACTAACCCTAATAGGCCCTAAACCCTAAACCCTACACCCTACACCCTAAACCCTAAACCCTGAACCCTAAACCCTAAACCCTAAACCCGCACCTTCATAACGCTGGGGTCTTCGAAAGGCTCTGCGGCAACTCTTAGGTCATCCTCCACGATCTGTCCTGCCAGGGTCACTGCAGCACACGCGTCGGACTGCCAGTAATACTTTCAACATGGCTCATATTCAATATTACTATGATTACTATTACGATTATGACTAATATTACTATGACTAATATGATGAATATTAATGTTATTATTCATACGATGAATATTGTTGGATTCACCTGGGCTGTAGCCTGGCAGCGGGCAAGCCAGCAGCTCAGAGAAACCCGTAAGTTTGCTAGCTCCCACCTCATGACTAACGAAGCTTGCAACACACGGTTTAGGGTTTAGGGTTTAGGGTTTAGGGTTTAGGGTTTATAAGTTTAAGGGTTTAGGGTTTAGGGTTTAGGGTTTAGGGTTTCGATGCACACCACAGTCAACAAAGTTGCGAAGATGAGCGTACTACGCCCGACACAACCCACAAAGGTCCAAAATAGCGAGGACGGACAAACGGGAAGCACTCTTGCAACCCATCCTTGTGGGTGGAAAACCGCAGGTCTTCCATCTAGAGTGTACCGCCATGCCTTTCCTAACTGATACCAGAGACGCATGCTGAATTGCCTGTCATTCTTGCAGTGTATCTAAACCCTAAACAAAACCCTAAACCCTAAATCCCTAAACCCTGGATGAAAGCAGATCACGCCGACCCAGCTGACTAACCGGAGAAAGGTTCTCTTCAGAGCAGCCTAGCTCTTTACGTCAAGCGCATCACGCATCCAAGCAGAGAAGGCAAAATGGGAACTCTGACTAATCACCAGGCCATCACCCTAAAGCCTATCCGCCTATCCTGCACATGATTCAGAAGGGCTGTTATACAGTGTGCTTTTGCTTCTATGCTTAGTATGTATATAAGTATATTTTCATATACATATGTGCATTTTCTATTTTTCTGTTTTTTCGCGAAACTGTGCAGAGTGCTTGCAACAACGTGCACTTGACCTTCTTCTCCCAAAAAGTGAAGCCCACATCCCAAGCCACTAAGCCTTGTAAGCCCTCTGTCCTCAGCTTGTGATTAAGGGTTTAGGCTTTGACGCAAGAGGGCTGGTGAATGGACTGAGGGCTTGCGATTTGCATAAGTTGCGGAAGTGGAAGATGTTCGTCGCCACCCCAACTGTGCAGGTTATGATATGCCCCTTCTTACGTCTCTTGCGTTGCGACCCTGTGGCAACCTCTTTGTTCTGGTGTCAGGAGTCCGCAATTCATTCACGTCCATGTAGCGGAAACACTGGCTGGCAACCAGCATGTTACGGTCGCTTCTGGGCCTGTGCAGGGGTGAAACGAGAAAGCCGCCAGCCGCTGGCACTTGAGGGCTCAGAGCAGCCTTGAGATTTGCAGATTGCAAGAATTGCAAGCATAAGAAAAATCGCCATAAGCGTCTATCGCACACAGCCTGACCCGCTTCGCGGGAGCAGCCCGGTATTCGCACAAACCCCGGCGGCTGTCGAGGTAAAGCCCTGGAGTGAATATCATTCCAGATCAATGTCGTCCTCCTGCATCCGGCTGGTGCCAGTAATGTTGACATGCTTCCTCTGCATTGCGCGCTTTCCGCGGTTGGAGAAGAAGAGCCTGGAGACCTCCGGGGACAAAACACAAGTGAGCCCTTGGTTCCCTGGCGATTTGGGGTTTAGGGTTTATTTAGGGTTTAGGGCTTAGGGCTTAGGGTTTAGGGTTTAGGGTTTAGGGTTTAGGGTTTAGGGTTTAGGGTTTAGGGTTTAGGGTTTAGGGGGGCTTGCTTATGGCTTGTAGGTTCTGAGCCCTACTTTCAATCCCCATATCTGGTTTTTCTACAGTCCTTGAAATACTGGCCTGCCCCATGTTAGGCCCCAGGATGGGTTTGACCTTGTCCAGAATTTCGATCCTTTGCTCTTCTGCCGCGGAGGGTTTCAGCAGGACCTTGCTCCGGGGAATGCAGCGGGAGACGTTGTGCATAAAGTTCACGAGGTTTTGTGTAGACTTGGTAAGCTGACGCGTGACCGCCTGGATGTCGCTCTGCATCTCATCGGCCAGGCTTACCTGACGCTCCATCTCACGCTCTGCCACCTGCAGGCGATTGAGGGCATTGCCCACCCGCCGGTTGATGGTAAAGAGATCTTTCGCCTTGACCTCCCCAGCAATGATACGGAGCCCCTGCGCGAACTGCTCTACCTCGATGCTTCCCGTACCCAGGTCGATCAAGTCCCAGAGTTCCTTTCAAAATCCGCAAGGACCTCACTAGACTATCAGCCTCACTAGGCCAAATATGGGTGTCTTGACTTTCGGGACAGGTAGTTGTGAATCATCCGTATATGATAGGCTCTCAACCACCCTTAAATGTGAATCGCTCCTCGGCATCGTCGATCTCCAACGTGATGAGCTTGGTCTGAATCTGAGGATTTTCGCTCACAGCGTCCAGGTACTCTTCATGGTTGAGGCTCCCCGTCCCACTCTTGTCCATCTCCATGAAGAGCGTCCGAACCTCGTCGATGAGCCTGTCGCTTTTGATCTTCTGCTCCCTGGCGACCATCTCGTGGTCGTCCTGCTGCCTCTGAAAGGCCGCGTTCACGATCGTGGCCGTGACCAGGTTCAGGAGGCAGAGCTCCACGATGAGGATGTTGAAGCCAATGACCAGGGCGGCGATGGGGTTGAGTGCCCCAATGGGCCGGGAGATGGCTGTCCAACTGTCCATGGTTACAATCTGGAACAGGGTGAACACCGCGTCGGGCACGTTCGAGAAGTACAGGATCACGTCCGGATGGTCTTTCGACCTTGGGTCCTGGCCTATTAAGACGACAGCCAGCACGGACCAGATGAAGAGCGTCGTACCCATGACAAGGACCGTGTAGAGCAAGATCTTGCCGCTTCCCAGAACACCCTGGAACAGGTTCCACAAGGTACGCAGGCTCCGGTACTTGCGAATGAACTTCATCAGCTTCACCAGCCGAAATAGCCGGAGGACTGCAAATGGCCGTACCAAGGCAGGATCGACTCCCAGTGGGCCCAGGATCCACACAGGAATCACATTCCTTGCATGGGATCAGATGAGCCCTGGGGGGGTGGCATCCTATAGGACTTCGATGATGGGAAGTACAATGTTGCGACCTCTCCCCTTTAAGGACCCGAACCCTGATTTAAGTATGCCCGTATACGACACCCCCAACCCTAAACCCCCCCCTCCAAGGTTCGTAGCCAGCACAACTACGACGTCGAAGATGTTAGAGCCCCGAAACCACCACCTCCACCCCTCGCAACAGTATCGTAAGACCAGCTCGACCACAAAAATGGTGGTGAAGACAAAGTCCAGGATTTCATAAATATGTGCGCTGTTTTCGTCATCATCTGTGCTGGACACTTGAAAGCCAATCATGATCGCATTGGCGAACATCACCAGCCCCATGGCAGATTCGAAGTAGTCCGATTCCACAATGTGCACGAAGAGGCTCGTATTCACCGCTTCCTTCTTCGCATCTGCTGCCCTCAGCTGCCTCTGTAGCCAAGAGTAGCCAATTGCATTCAGAACCTTCTTTAGCGGCGTGTTCTCCTCCCTGACTAAGAGGTATTCCTTGAGCAAGGCGTCAGTGTTGTGGGTCCAATTCCGGTCCTTATCCGAAGTTCGCACGATACTCTGGCCCATTTTCAACAGGGTCTTCAACTTATGAGCTTCCTCTTTGGAAAGCCAGCCAGTATCCACGCGAAGTTGGATTTCGGCCACTTCGGCATCCAGCGAAGTCCTCATTGCAGCTGTTGGAGGATTCATTGCAGCCATGTTCGACGCCGGCTACACCGTGCTCACAATATCGTGCTGTGTAGCACCCCCCCCCCCCCCCCCCCCCCGCGCAGGGTTTAGCGGGTTTAGGGTTTCGGGTTTAGGGCTGAGGGTTTAGGGTTTAGGGTTTACCGTTCCCGTCCCCCACGCTGTCAACAGTCGTTGTGCAGTAGCTGGGGCGCTACCAGTTGCCCCCCTCTCAACTTGACATGTCCTATTCTCCTTCTTGCAAACAAACTCCACAGCCCTAAACCCTAAACCCTAAACCCTAAACCCTATGTCTTGATGTCTTGTAACAGCCTTGCCACAAAAGTCTTGAGCCATGGCGGCATGCGGCATCGTTCCCAAAGGCTCCATGTCTCAGACTTCCAGAGGGCTAAAGGGATCCAGGAGAATGCCTCCAACCCTAAACCCTAAACCCTAAACCCTAAACCCTAAACCCTAAACCCTAAACCCCCAAGCATCCGAGGAGGGTCCTGGGAGGACACTGGGGTCCAGCGTGGCGGTCGCCAAAGCCGGGACCTCAACACCAGGATCAAACTTCTTTAGAGTTTAGGGTTTAGGGTTTAGGGTTTAGGGTTTAGGGTATAGGGTTTAGGGTTTAGGGTTTAAATTTAGGGTTTAGGGTTTAGGGTTTAGGGTTAGGGTTTAGGGTTTAGCTTCTTTAAGGGGTTTTGGGAGGCAGCAAGGAACTGGATGAAACAAGGTTTTTTAGGGTTTGTGGTTGTCACTATGGTCAGCGCCACGAGGATATGTATGTGTGTGTGTGTATGTATGTATAGACAACGTAGTTGATACGCTTTCCCGCTTATGGCAACAGAATTGAGCTTCCTTGGCGGCAAACCAGCTTTCAGTTTAGGGTAGCCGAGTCTCTATTGTCAGCACCCCTACTCCATCAGCATCCTACCCACCACATCAAAGCCCTTCAATGTCCAGAATCTACTCGAAGCTTTGGGGCTCTAACAAGAGGCCTCGAACTTACTTACCACAAAAAAACTTGAGTCTCTGTGGAGTTCTTACGGTCTCTCCGAAGGGAAATCGAAGAGCTGACCCCTAAACCCTAAACCCTAAACCCTAAACCCTAGACCCTAAACCCTAAACCCTAAAGACCCTGAAGACCCAAGTGGGCCTCTGAGGGTAGCCCGAAGTCGCACCACACCTGGGTTGCGCGGCGCAGCGCCTGGCGCCAGAAGAAAGCTTCCATCCAATAAGGGCTTAGGGTTTAGGGTTTAGGGTTAGGGTTTAGGGTTTAGGGCTTAGGGTTTAGGGTTTAGGGTTTAGGGTTTAGGGTTTAGGGTGTAGGGTTGAGGGTTTAGGGTTTAGAGCACAAGATCCAGGAATCTCTGTTGCCGGGAGGTGGGCTTATGATCCTGAGTATCAAGTTCGAGTTTGCCATCCCAGCTTGGGGGATGTCCCTTTCGACCTAAGGCCAGCCTTGATTTTTGTATTTTGTGTGTATATACATATATATATATATATAGAAAACTGCTCTCCTTTTTTTTGGCGGGGGGGGGGGGGGGGGGGGATGCCCCAGACCCTATGTTGGAATCGAATAAGCCCTGGCAGCACCCGGAGAAAGGTCATCAAAATGAAAACCCGAAGCCTAAACCCCAAACTCCGACTGGCTTGCTTGAGCAACTCTTTCGGGGCGCTACACAGCAAAGTCCTCTACTTGGAGGTTCATGGGTACTTACAAGTAGGGAAGTTCTAAGTACCCGTACAGAGATAAAAAAAAATACCTACCCTACTTATAACCCTACTGAGAAGTACCCATGAACCTCCTAAACCCTAAACCCTAAACCCTAAACCCTAAACCCTAAACCCTAAACCCTAAACCCTAAACCCTAAACCCTAAACCCTAAACCCTAAACCCTGCCCTACCCCCTAAACCCTAAACCCTAAGCCAGCCCTCATGGCTGCCTGGTACTGCTGGAGGGACTCGAAGGTCGCTGTCACGTTCAGGGAGATGGGCGTGAAGGGCGGCACCACGGTGGGCCCGGAAAGGTGCAAGTGAACCTACCAGGGTTTAGGGTTTAGGGTTTAGGGTTTAGGGTTTAGGGTAACTCCAGCAAATCACCCTGTCGCAGGTCAGCTCGATCAACTCGCCTGTCTCATGAAGATCACGGGCAGCGAGTTCGACCAGAGTATCCCGTCGACGGACAGGGACAGGGAGCCCCTGAGCCCCACAACGGATACAGGCGCGTTAAGGAACTGAATATAAGCAAGGAATCTCATTCTAAACTCATGCTACAGAAACCTACCCAGGATAGCTTGATGAGCAACTTGGGCTTCAGGGGCTTAGGGCTTAGGGCTGAGGGTTTAGGGTTTAGGGTTTAGGGTTTAGGGTCTAGGGTCTAGGGTTTAGAGTTTAGGGTTTAGGGTTTTAGGGTTCAGCACGTGGGCACACATCCTGCCACAAGCACCTTCGCATGCTCTGAGCTCGTGGCGGCTCGTTGAGGTACAGCCTGAGCTCACCACTTCGAGGGAGGGGTGGGGGAGGGGGGATTTCGGGTGGAGGGTTTATAAATAAGGTTTGGGGTTTGGGGTTTGGGGTTTAGGGTTTAGGGTTTAGGGTTTAGGGTTTAGGGCTTAGGCTTTCGAAACCCTAAACCCAAAAGGGCTCCGGGGTTCCAGAGACTCCTTTGAAAGAGCACCGGAAGAGCTGCCGAGTTGCAGATATTGCGGCACTTCGCACACCACCTGAGCCCAAGGTTCAAGCTTCGGATGGGCTGAGATGGGCTCAACTTGGAGGTTTAGGGTTTAGGGTTTAGGGTTTAGGGTTTAGGGTTTAGGGTTTAGGGTTTAGGCTTTAGGCTTTAGGCTGTAGGGTTTGGGGTTTAGGGTTTAGGGCTTAGGGGTTAGAGGTTCGGGGGGCTTAGGGGTTAGTAGGGTTATAACTGTACCCAAAAATGAGTTATAGCCATCCTCACCTACCCTACTTGTAGGCATTCTACACCCTAAACCCTAAACCCTAAACCCCAAACCCTAACCCTAAACCCCAAACCCCAAACCCCAAACCCTAAACCCTAAGCCCTACGTAAAACCTCTTGAACCTCCAAGCAATCTACCGCCAAAGCCTCGGTCTCGTTCACAACGAAGGCCGTCAGGAGCCGCTCCTTTCTCATCATAATCTTGCAAGTCTGGGTTTGGGGTTTAGGGTTTAGGGTTTAGGGTTTAGGGTTTAGCTCTTAGTAGGGAATGCGAGAGTGAGGTACCCCCATTTAAAGGGTGCAAGGGGCCCTAGCTCTCTCATCCTTACGCCAAGGACGTGTGCAAATGCAATGCCTGAGGCACGCGTGCGAATCCCTCCCAAGGGCTCTTTCAAGTTCGCAAATGAGAATCAGATCATATAGGGGCCTTAAAAATTAGAATAGAGTTTTTGGGTGGTATTATGATATAGTTATAAAAGGGGCCATAAGTATTAGGAAAAGGAAAATCCGACCCCCCATATGTTTTAGGGTCACCTTCGGTGAGTGGGACATCTGCAAGCCTCCGCACCGACCACCCCTGCCCTAAACCCTAAACCCTAAACCCTGAACCCTGAACCCTGAACCCTAAACCCTAAACCCTAAACCCTAAGCCCTAAACCCTAAACCCTAAACCCTAAACCCTAAACCCTCCTTCAGACCAGGGAAGTCCCACTGCAAGCGGCACCTGGGCGTTTCCGACATTCGGGGTAATAGGGGGGTCTTTATTATAAGGTGATCTTAATATTTTGGGGCCCGGAATTTGGGGTCCCTTGTACCTTATTGGGGGGTCCATATGAAAAGGTAATCCTACCATTTTGGGGGGTCTAAATTAGGGTCCTTGATTCCTGGGAGGAGTTCCAAGACTCTCTTGCGTGCCCGTGGAATCCGTACTCTCAGCCCTCCTTTGCCTAGAAATCTCCCTAAACCCTAAACCCTAAGCGCTAGAAGAGCATCCAGAAGCAACTGCTACCACTACTGAACGCATTCCGCGTTCGAGGATACTCTGGGCCCCCAGTGGCCAGGGTACTTGTACCCGTCCCCAGGCCTCGAAGCCTTCAACGCAAACACCTTTAGGGTTTAGGGTTAAGGGTTAAGGGTTAAGGGTTTAGGATTTAGGGTTTTCAGATGCAAAACTGGCCTGCTGCGCATACCATCACTGTCCGCTGCTTGGGGTCAGACCGTTTCGTCCGGCTTCGAAGGGCATGTTTCAGGAAGTGCTCCCTCGGTCTGCAGGTGAGCTTTAGGCGCTCGACTCAGGGCACTGAGGCACTGTTTAGGGTTTAGGGTTTAGGGTTTAGGGTTTAGGGTTTAGGGTCTAGGGTTTAGGGTTTAGAGTTTGGCCTTGACTCAGTTGCTGAGCAGCCGACTCGCCGAACACTCTCAGGTACAGCGGGTCCACACTGCTGGTGTCATTGCGCTCGAGCACGGCCATGATCTCGCCAAGTCCAGCAGTTTAGGGTTTAGGGTTTAGGGTCCAGGGTTTAGGGTTTAGGGTTTAGGGTTGCTTGAAGGTTCATGGGTACTCATAAGTAGAGTTATTATAACCATAAGTAAGCATGAACCTTCAAGTAGCAGATGCACAGGACGATTTGCTTTTAGTAGATAGCAGGTTCAACACCGCTTGACTGCACTTGACACGCTATTACGTCACGGTGACACGCACATTGCCTCTGGCTCCACACGAAGGATCTGCACCGGGGGGATGAGGTGGACGTCAGGCAGCGCACTTACCTGCACACGTCACCCTAAACCCTAAACCCTGAAACCTAAACCCTAAACCCTAAACCCACTGTAGAGTCGCCCTGGTAAACCATACCCCCAACTCCAACATGCGCAACTTCCGCCTGGGTCTGGTAGCCCGTGCTGTTCTTGGCCGCCAGGACTGCCATCAGCGTCCGGCTCGTGGTCAGATTGCCCCTGGCTCCAAGAAGCATGGTAGGGGAAGAACGATGGAAAGGGTAGAGATTCACCCTAAACCCTAAACCCTTTTAAACCTTTGGCTGCTTCGAAGATGCTTGGGGCTCTTGACTTGACACGTGCTGGGAAGCTTTGGAAGGCCTCATCGTCATCGGCAGTGCCGGGACGGTACACTGAACTTCACCGTTGGACAGCCATTCCGCAGGGTACACGGCCATGGCTCCACTCCAATTCATGGGAGCGCCTGGTCAGTGAAGCTTCCATGTCTAAAATTAAAACAAGTTTTCTTTAAATAATACATTTGAAATTTAAATGAAAACATATTTATTTAAAGAAAACTTAAGGTCCCCCTTCCCACAGCCATGCCATGACTTTTTCGGCACTTGCTCGGATCTTGCTAGGGCAGCCTGCATGTGCACAGAACTGCTCGCGAACATCTTGCCTCAGGGGATGTGAGCTGTCCGGGAATGTGCAGAGAAAGCGACTTGCATGCGAGCTCGCGGCCATTGATGTGTCCACTGAACATACGGGACATCTGGGCACGCATCCTGGAACCAAACAGGAGCTTGCACAGACGTGAGGCATAGGGTTTAGGGTTTAGGGTTTAGGGTTTAGGGTTTAGGGTTGAGGGTTTAGGGTTTAGGGTTTAGGGTTTAGGGTTTAGGGTTTAGGTCCACTTGATGCAGGAACGCCAGCAACCACCACCCAAGTTTCTCCTGTACCAGATTGCGCCACATCAGCTCTTGTCGTACAGCGTAGGACTCAAAGATGAAGCCTGCCAACGCAAGAGAAGAAGCTGCAAGCCTTACAGGCCCCGCGAGCTCGCAAATGCGGCTCGTGAAGAACCTAGGTTTAGGGTTTAGGGCTTAGGGTTTAGGGTTTGGGGTTTAGGGTTTAGGGTTTAGGTTTAGGGTCCAGGGTTTCGCAAGCATCTGCCTTGGGCAGAGTGGTCGAAGAAGACACAGGCCAGTTCCACCTCAGCCAGAACGTGCTGCTCAGGTAAACATGCCCCCTTCTACTATACTCCTCTTGGAACCTGAATAAGAATTATATATTCAAAATCCTCTTAGGGGTTTGTATAAACAAAAAGTAAGTTGCCGAAGGGGGATATGGGGTAAACATGCACCCTTCTAGCGCAGTCGAACAAGATCTGGGTAGTGCTTTGGGAAGCGGAAACCTCAACCCAAACCCCAAACCACTATACCTTTTAAACCAAACACCCTGAAACCCCTAAAGCCCTAACTTTAAGAACCCCAAAAACCGAAACCCTAAACACCAAAAGCCAAAAAAACCTGAAAAAAATCTAATCCGCAGAAACACCCAAGCCCAACGATCCTGAAGCCCCCAAAAACCCAAAAGCCACCAGAAAGCTCCCCCAAAACATCCCCGCCCAACATACCCATGGTAGCAGAGGCGGGTGCCACCTCCGGCATTGGGAAGTCCATCCCCGCGATCTTCAACTCTAGCGGCCCCCCAACCGTCCACACGGCCGGCGTCTGCACAGGAGGGACTGTTGGGGTTTAGGGTTGAGGGCTTTGGGGGGGGGGGGGGGGGTCTTAGAGGTTTTAGGGGTTCGGGGTGTTAGGTCTTGAGGCTTGCAGGGTTGAGGGCCCAGGGCGGTTTAGGGTGTCGGGACTATGCCACCGCTGAATAAGGGCTTCCACTCCCGGTGGGGCCCAGACCATATCGAGGATCGTCGGTGCGGGCAAGATGCGAACAGCGTAACCTTGGCACGAGGTCATTGAGTCGTTGCTGAGCCACCATTCATCATGGTCAAAGATGTGAAGAGAGCCCACGTGCACCTTTAGACAACAACTTCGCAATGGAATGGGCACGATTGCAGTAGTGATAACTACAAATATCATACAAAAACACATCATGTAACAATATTCAACATAGCATACAATATAGTATACTCGAATATAGCATACTCGCATACCAACAAATGCATAATACTCTGAATATAAAGCTTGCTACAAAAGTACAATCATCAGGGCTTCCCAAGCGCTCTGCCCAACACATCGCTGACCGTAGCTTTCCCGTCCAGGGAGATCGACACGTTCATGGTCTCCTCGGCGATCGTTGCAATTCGTTGCAATTCTGCCTAAGCCCTCGATTGCTAACCCTAAACCCTAAACCCTAAACCCTAAACCGATGTGCTTAAGTCTGAGGGCTGCGCCCCAATTCCATTCTGCGGCGCTGGCAAGGGTGGGCAAGGGCCTGCGATGCCCACATCGATCTCAACCGCCCTAATCGCCCTAATCCCCCTAGCAGCCTTACAAGGCATCATCTGAAAGGATACACGGGTCACCGCACACGCATCTGAACTCAGCACGTGGCAGACCACCCGCAGAGTGTCATTCCAAGCGTAGATGGTGGCCTGTCTCGAAGGCTTGATGCAGCCAAAAGGCAGACTTGCTGGCAAGCACCTTCCTCCCCAGCTCTCAAATCTTCACAGGCCACTAGTCCGCATCCACATGCCTTGGTGTCGAAGACGCCCATAGGTGGGCCCGCCTGATATGCAGGACAAGTGAGCCTTCCCAAAATCCAGCTGGCCAGGAGTAGCCCTAAACCCGAAACCCTAAACCCGAAACCCTAAACCCCCAATGAAGGCCAATGCTTCCAAGGAGCTGCAGTGAACATGCACAGAGCGCTGTACACCGAGTACTGCCATTGCAGGAACTCTGCCTGGTACACCCAGCACAAGCATCCCGCACCCTATTACACTTGGGGTGTTTGGGGTTTAGGATTTAGGGTTTAGGGTTTAGGGTTAATTGCGGCCATGCCCTACATGAAACCCCAAGCCCTAATGCTGAAGCCTCTAACCTCAACGCGCCCCAATCCTCGTGAGCCCAAAACCCTAAGCCCGAATCCAAAAACCTAACCCTAAGCCCTAAACCTTTGCCGGTAAAGGCCTGCCTTTAGTAAACTATGGCGATGGGGTCTAAGGTTGTTGCTATGTGTTTCCTCATGTGGGCCCTTGAATAAGCTTGTAGCATTTGGGGGTGATATTCGGGGTACTCCTACTTGGGACCAAATGTGACACAATGCACTTCGATTGCAGGCTTGCACCTGAAGAAGCTCCTGAACCCCTCCCTACCCAAAACCCGAAACCCTTAAACTGGAAACCCGAAACCCTAAACCCGAAGCCCTAAGCCCTACACCCTAAACCCTAAACCCCAAGCCCGAAACCCTAAACCCTAAACCCTAAACGCTAAACCCCTCCTGCGTCCCTTGGCCCACTCTGCCGGCCTCCCGTGCATAGAGCACCACGCTGTCCCCCAAATCTCCCGAAAAGCAGGTGGCCTCCTGGTGTCGATTTAACGACGGGCTTAGGCTTTAGGATTTAGGATTTAGGGTTTAGGGTTTAGGGTTTAGGGTCTAGGGTTTAGGGTTTAGGGTTTAGGGCTTAGGGTTTAGGGGCCCTTCATACACGGCTGGGAGCCTTCTCCAGGAAGAAGGCCCACCTCCGGCATGGCTACAGGGTGCCACACGGGCCGCAGGGACCGCAAGCTTGGGGGCGGCATAGGTGTACTTGGAGGTTCAGGGCACTTGTAGGGTTTAGGGTTTAGGGTTTAGGGTTTAGGGTTTAGGGTTTAGGGCTTAGGGCTTAGGGTTTGGGGTTTAGGGTTTAGGGTACTATAACCCAATGATGAGTGTAGTTGTCACCCACATATAAGCTGCTCTCTTACATGGAATGGCAGGAGTAGGGATGGGTCTTGCTCACTGGCACCCTAAACCCTAAACCCTAAACCCTAAACCCTTGGCGGCTGGCTTCGGGTAGAAAGTGAAGTCCACGGAGGTCACCGAGAGCCTCAGGAACTCTGCATCGGCGCCGGCATGGCTCGGGGGGGGCACTATATCGCTCTGTACCTACTATTCTATTTTTAGTAAACCCGAAACCCTAAACCCTAAACCCTAAACCCTAAACCCTAAACCCTAAACCCTAAACCCTAAACCCTAAGCAGTAGCAATAATGATATTTATTTTTGTTTATAAGATCTCATCTGAGAGCCTGGCTCGTGTAGCCAACTTGCCACCTTGAGCTTCGACACTCCTGTCAACTCCACAAGGTTTAGGGTGTAGGGTTTAGGGTTTCGGGTTTAGGGTTTAGGGTTTTGGGTCTAGGGTTTAGGGTTTAGGGTTTAGGGTTGGGGGACTCAAGGTTTCCATGCCTGCAGGATGATATGCGGGAGTTGTACCTTCGGGCGCCGCAGGAAGGGCGCAAGTCCCTACTGCAAATCGCAGGTTGGCAAGAACCTGCAACATAAGCAGATGTCATCCAGGCTTGACATCAAAAGCTTTGCGATGACCTGCAAACTGCCAGGGTCACAGTAAATCAGGCTCTCGTTGAAGAAGCGTGCGGGCATGTACAGGTTGTCGTCCTCGGCATGGCTAGCTGCGTCCATCCCGCACCCAACACCACGGACGGCAGAAACTCAGCTCAACCTCTCGGGGCGCAGCAAATGCACACGACCTGAAGCGCAGGAGGGTAGTTGCCGGAATGAATTTCGTGCACCAAACAGCCAAAAGCATGATCACACGACAGCTGCGAGGGCCGTAATAGCTGTGGTCTTGGCAAGCGCCCCTGCTGCGAAAAGCCATTGCCGACCACCGCGATCAAGGTTCCTGCCACATCTCTGGCCGACTCAGCCTGCGTTTAAGCACACAAACCCTAGACCCTAAACCCTAAACCCTAGACCCTAGACCCTAAACCCCTTAAACCCTAAACCCTAACCCTAAACCCTAAACCGAATTCCGGCCTCCGGTGACTGGCCCAAAATCCGGAGAAACAGAGGAGATGCCCAGCCGTGGCAGCAGTCGCACCGGAAAGGCCTCACCCGAGCGAAAGTTGTGAACAGATGCCAAGAACCTCCAAACACCTCATCTCATACACCGCAGGCACGGCATGAACCCTGAACCTCAACACTAAACCCTAAACCCTAAACCCTAAACCCTAAACCCTAAACCCTAAACCCTAAACCCTAAACCCTAAACCCTAAACCCTAAACCCTAAATCCTAAACCCTAAACCCTAACAGGAAATCTGAGCACGCCGCCTCGGAGCCCAGGGCGTCGGGTTGCGCGTCCAGTAGGTTCGGAGACCACACGGTGGCCAGCAGGAAGCCTCCGAGAGGCCGCGCCTTGCAGATAATATTGATTATACTCATAAGATAGGGTTTAGGGTTTAGGGTCTAGGGTCTAGGGTTTAGGGTTTAGGGTTTAGGGTTTAGGGTTTAGGGTTTAGGGTTTAGGGTTTAGGGTTTAGGGGTTTGGGATTAGGGTTTAGGGTTTAGGGTTGAATGGACTTAGCATACAGTATACGTCGTTCGGTTGAAAGTAAACTGAAATCCACATCTGGATCTGGCCGCTGGCCCCTAAACCCTAAACCCTAAACCCTAAACCCTAAACCCTAAACCCTAAACCCTAAACCCTAAACCCTAAACCCTAAATCCTATCCCTAAACCCTAAACCCTAAACCCCAAACCCCAAACCCTAAACCCTGCACCCTCGGCCCAGACCTGTGAAGATGTCAGGAAGCGCGTGCGAACAGCGGAAGAAGAGACTACCCAAGCTTCAATTGAGCCTCGATCCCGAACATCGAGCCAAACAGACACGGGCATTTCCCAAAATAGGGTCCCCCCAAGTATACCCCCAAAATGCTCTAATCCTAATGATTATAGGATTCCCAAAAAGGAGACCCCTATTTTCGGAAACAGGAAAGAAGTTGAGACTGTTCGTTAGTAGGGATTGAGGTATATATGAGGGCCCTATATAAACCCTTTAATGGATTCGAAAGGGTACCGCATTCCCCCATTCCCTGCTAAGCAACAGTAAGCTACTATTTGCATAAGAACCCTCCAAAAAATAATAACAATCCCGATATTACCCTTAGTCAGGAAGAATATCGTTTACTTTTTCTGGGGTTCTTAAGCAATTAAACCCTAAACCCTAAACCCTAAACCCTAAACCCTAAACCCTAAACCCTAAACCCTAAACCCTAAACCCTAAACCCTAAACCCCCATTCCCTGCCAACCAACAGGAAGGGAAGTGGAGACTCGAGGCGGCCTGCACCACAGAAGGCGCTGACTGCTGCGCCACGCACTCGAGGTATGCGAGGCCGGCCTGCGCGGCTTCTAAACCCTAAACCCTAAACCCTAAACGCGTTCAGAAACCCGGTACCCAAACCCTCGCCCCAAAAAACACCCCGAGCCTCAGCCTCAAACCATGAGGTAAGTAGAGAATAGTAGAGAGCCTCTGGCTCTTGAGATTCTATGCCCTGGTCGCGACGACATCTTCGACTTCAGAAGGATGTCCATGTGGCCGGCCACTACGCAGACATGGGAAGGGTCTTCCACACGAGGGTCTCCTTATAGAAATCCTGCCGTACGAATCCCATATAAAAAGAACCACCAAAGAAACAGCTTCACATACACAAGATGACTGTGCAAACCTCGCCATTATCAGTTTTGACGATTTAGTGCAGGTTGTTGCTGTCACCCCTCCCACAACACATCTGACAAGGTCCGCTGGCTTATGTTTGCTTATGCGGTGCAGAAAATTGGGTTATCAGTCAGCTCGATTAAGAGGCTTCCCAAATGCCAAGATCTAAGCCATCTCCACAAGCTTTGAAAATTTACGTCTTCGCACTCTTGAACAGACCCTACAACCTAAACCCGAAATTTGCTTAACAAACCTAAAGGCCCAAACCCTGAAACCCTAAAACCCTAAACCCTAAACCCTAACCCTCTAAACCCTCTAAGTCAGGGTGTTTGATTCTTCGCCCGCGTCCACATCTTTTAAGATTTCGACCCAGCCTCCACTGAACCCAGGCGGGCAGAAAACCCCTACAGTTTGGGGGTTAGGGTTTAGGGTTTAGGGTTGAGGGTTGAGGGTTGAGAGTTGAGGGTTGAGGGTTGAGGGTTTAAGGTTTAGGGTTTAAATTAGGGTTTGGGGTTTAGGGTTTGGGGTTTAGGGTTTAGGGCTATGGGGATTAGTATGCTGAGGTGAGGTTTGGCCCGACACCTCAGAGTGAAGAATGGTGCCTCAAAGATGAGCTGACTCTGTTGTGCCTCCAACCGCACCTGAGCCACAGAGGCAGCAAGAGAGCCGGAGCCATGGCTTTTTCGTTTTCACGTCGGCAGTAGGGAAGTTGCGAGTGCCGCGACCGAGAGTTCTGTCAGGTCGCATTGACACAAGCACCCTAAACCTTGAATAACCCTAAACTCTAAACCCTAAACCCTAAACCCTAACGCATTGACATGAGGTTTTTTCCCTCTTCAAAAATCAGTGCAAAGCCATGCTCCGCACACTTGTGACACACCTTGACTAAATCCTCTTCATGCAGGCCTCATCCTTAGCTGCATCCGCATGGCAGCTCTACTACTATTTGTGTTTAAGAATCTGCCCCCCCCCCCCCCCCCCCCCGAAAAAAAACAAAAAGGGAAATATGGGGTTTGTTCTCCTCTTGTGTCTTATGGGGTTCTGAAGCAAGTAGCAGCTCTTGGGCTTGTAACATTCCGACGCCTCAAGCCATTCATGCTTTGAAGCATCTTCTGACACAGGGTTCAGGGTTCAGGGTTCCGGGTTCAGGGTTCAGGGCTTAGGGCTTAGGGTTTAGGGTTTAGGGTTTAGGGTTTAGGGTTTAGGGTTTCGGGTTTAGGGTTTAGGGTTTAGGGGTCCGGGAGCTGAATGGGAAGAACTGGGTGTCCCCAACAAGCGTAGGCTTCGCCGTTTTGACCCTGAAGCCTGACCTAAACCCTAAATCCCCTGAACCCTAAACCCCCTTCGCCCTAAACCCCCTTAACCCTAAACCCCCTTAACCCTAAACCCTAAACCCTAAACCCCAAACCCCCTCCTTCGGAAACCCCAAGAAGTCGAAACTCCCATGGAGCCTGTTCAGCACTGGGCGGCTGCACCGACGCCTGCACCGAGTTTGGAGGGCTTTTTCTCTTGTCCAATACGGGGGCTTAGGGTTTCGGGCTTGGTTTAGGGTTTAGGGCTCGGGTTTTAGGGTTTAGGGTTCAGGATTCGGGGACCTGTTTTGGGCATCCGTCTTTTGGAGATGATGCGGTGTTTTGGGTATGTAATTTTGCTCAAATCCAATCTCTTCCCCTTACTTAAGATCCTTGAAGTACAGAACATTGCTAAAGCCACGAGCACAAACAAGTTACTTCAGATCCATGAAATATTACCCGTAAACCCCCAACCCCAAACCTCAAACCCTAATCCCGAAAACCTAAACTTCTGATAGACAGAAACCCTAAACCCTAAACCCTAAACCCCAAACTCACCGAGGAGTCTGTGAGTTCGGCTCTAGCTCTTCAATCGGTCTACGGTCTAGGGTTGCTAAAGAACCCATGGGTGGAGTTACGGAAATCATGGTGCAGTGCCTGGGTTTAAAGGGCTCCTTATAGGGTTTTGGGGTTTTAGGGTTTAGGGTTTATAGGGTTTATAGGGTTTATAGGGTTTATAGGGTTTATAGGGTTTTAGGGTTTTAGGGTTTTAGGGTTTTAGGGCTTTAGGGTTTTAGGGTTTTGGGCTTTAGGCTTTTAGGGTTTTAGGGTTTTAGGGTTTTAGGGTTTTAGGGTTTTAGGGTTTTAGGGTTTTAGGGTTTTAGGGTTTTAGGGTTTTAGGGTTTTAGGGTTTAGGGTTTCGGGTTTTCGGCTTTTCGGGCTTTGGGTTTTAGTGGGTTTGGAGACTTTTTGCATGTGCGACTCCCAGGTGACTTCCCTGCCGCCTCGAAAGACATATTCACCGGCGACCACGGCTCAACATTCTCGGTGTCGTTGTAGTCTGGCAAGAGCATGCAGCTTCATGGAACCCTTAGCCCTAAACCCCTATCTACACGACCCGCCCGTAGCTGTTCGGAACTTGGGCGCTCTATTTTTTGAACTTCGTTACTTACGACGAGCGAAACAGCAGACTCCTGCAGCTTTCTCTTGCTACGTCCGCAACGAGGAGAAAACCCTAAACCCTAAACCCTAACCCTAAACCCTAAACCCTAAACCCTAAACCCTAAACCCTAAACCCTAAACCCTAAACCCTAAACCCTAAACCCTGAACCCTAAACCCTTGACTTGCAACCATGTTCTCTGCCTTGCTCGCTGTACCAGGTGTCAATGCTCCCGTTCGTGAAGGTGAGATTTTGATCCTGAAGCTGGCCCCGTAGTAGGGTTCAGGGTTTAGGGTTTAGGGTTTAGGGTTTAGGGTTTAGGGTTTAGGGTTTAGGGTTTCGGGTTTAGGGTTTAGGGTTTAGGGTTTAGGGTTTAGGGTTTAGGGTATAGGGTTTAGGGTTTAGGGTTTAGGGTTTAGGGTTTAGGGTTTAGGGTTTATGGCAGGGCTTAGTTAGGGTTTCAGGTGACTTCGGGCTTCCAAAACTACCCCTCAGCCCTGATCTGTGATCGCAGCCTCTCCTCGCAATCCTCTGGGCATCCGGGGAAAGAGGTGCCAATCCGCGCGCTCAACTGATCCACCTGCGCCAGAGTTCAGAAGGCCAGGGTTCAGAGTTTGGTGGGTCGCAAGCAGTTTCGCAAGTCCGGGCTAGCGTACTTGGGATTGGGTACTCCTCACGCCCTAGCCCCAAACCCTAAACCCTAAACCCTAAACCCTAAACCCTAAACCCTAAACCCTAAACCCTAAACCCTAAACCCTAAACCCTAAACCGTTTACGTACCCATGAACCTTCAAAGTAGGTCCTAAACCCTGAACATTAAACCCTAAAGCCTAAACCCTCAAGCCTAAACCCTAAACCCTAAACCCTAAACCCTAAACCCTAAACCCTAAACCCTAAACCCTAAACCCTAAACCCTAAACCCTAAACCGTCACTGAGAGCCACGCCTTCATGGCATTGACGGTGTTCCGAAGGGTGTTGATCTGCTCTTGGAGCGACCTGGCAGTCGGCCATCAGGCTTCTTGAAGGTTCCTGGGCACATCTAAGTAGGGTTACAAGTCCCCTAAATAGGGTTCCTGCCATAGCCCTACTAGTAAGTAACCGTGCTGTCGTCATAACAAAAAAACACTCCATCTGCTGATTGTAGCAGAAGTTTTTCAGTCAACACGGGTCAGCTCCACGCATAGAGCATGCACTTGTCCTCTTCTTCTGGTGGATCTTCTGGCATGATGGCATCTGACAGCGCGACACCTTGCAACTGAGTCTGTAAGAGTCT